GAGGCAGGAGATGGGCCAAAAATTATAAAGCACATGCCCAGTGGGAGTTCTAAACCCGACCATAATAGGTCCACTTGAGCCAGTAGCATGGCAAAAAATTTAAAAGCACAAACCCGGTGGGACTCGAACCCAGGAGATGGGCCCTAGTAGGTCCACTTGAGCCAGTATCATGGGCCAAAAATTTAAAAGCACATGCCCAGTGGGAGTTCGAACCCGACCATAATAGGTCCACTTGAGCCAGTAGCATAGCAAAAAGTTTAAAAGCACACGCCCGGTGGGACTCGAACCCACAATCGCCTGATTAGAAGTCAGGCGCCTTATCCATTAGGCCACGGGCGCTCTTGTGAAAATGTGCTTTCTTTTTTATTATGTCTTAAGTCTAACATCTACACGAATTTGCAAACCTACAAAATTTCTAGTACAAAAATAAATTTAAGAAGCCAATGCCAACATGCTATCCCCGGCTAAGTTTTGAGTTAGGGGCACATCAAGGTCATCTTGCAAGGCAAAACTGAGATTAGTAGGCTAGTCTAGACAAGCATCATAAACTTAAACTTGGTTGTTGTTGGCTTCAATAGAAGACTGAAACCTTAAAATAGTTAAAGGTCCTTGATAACATCATCTGAACATTTGAAACAATGCATTAATAATTATAAGATTGAGGTGCATGCGTTTGGCTGCACTACATTCTTATACAGATTTTCATGACATTGTCTTCCCTGCTTCTCAGTTCCTTTTTGGTTGGGGAGGAGGGATTACGTGAGTTAATGATTACTATTATTACATTCTAAATACACCATATTTGGTATCTTCCAATGGGCGATTCATGAATGCGGAGATGCAGAGCCTTTTTCTTTCTCAAAATATGGCTGTGCTTCGCCCAACTTGTAATTTTACTGACCACTAGATTAATTTGTTGATGACAGTTCTTCTAGTAAATTGTTTTTACAATATATAGTTCTTGCAGTAGTTAATGTTTTGTGTACTATTTGAAGGGAGGAATGCCTGGATCTGCACGATTAAGGGATTGTGAAATTCTCAAGATAATTACAAGCAAACATGCTGAGGAAAAGAGGCTCTATGGAGGTGTATCTACTGCTCCAGCAGGCACACTTCTCCCTTGGGGGCTCTTGAGTAGGAAGCGGGTGAGTACTGGTTTACATTAAATTTGTAGTTTTGTGCATATCAATGTATTTTAATTGATAAATTTAATGTGGTTTGTCATTCAAGACAACTTGCCACCTTACATTCTTTGACAAGCTTCCAACATCCTGGTCTGTCAAATCAAATATTCTAGTTTCTGGAGAGCGTACAACAATCAGAGCTCCGGAACTTCTTTTACGTTTGCTCTGTCCTTAGTAGAGAAGCTTTTTGGGAGTCTGTGGCCAAGGATACTGCAGAATTTGTGGTTAAGCTTTTTACTCTTTTGTTTTCTTAAGTCTCTTTATGATGCTTCACCCTTGCTTGCTTGATCCACCATGAGAGACAATCACATTCATTCATGCACATGGAAGGATGTGAGCTTATATTTTGTATTTATTTTTTGGTTCCTAATAAGGCTTCGTATGCAATGAATTCTCAACTAAAAACAATTTTGGATTCCCTACTAAGGACAATGCATGCATTTCACTCTGTATGATTACTGTTTTCCAGTTCACGCATTCTGCTGATGATAAACCGAAAAGGAAGAGTACATCAAAGTTGACTGGGCCATTGATCAAACTCCTCATGTGAGTTATTACTTGCTTCAGTTGAATACTTTCTATGTTGTTACTCTGGCTTCAATTGTGAAAATTTCTTGTGTATTGTTATTATAAGTTCATATGGCATCTTTGCTTTAGCCATATATGTTTCTTCCCCTATATACTTTTCATTATCAAAATGTTTTAGACAGGTTCTACTTCCAGTTGCAAATGGTTCAGAAGAGATTGAAGTAGTTACTATCATAGACATTCTACATCAAGCAAATGTGGATGTTGTTGTTGCTTCAGTTGAAAAATCATTTAAGGTTTTGGCATCTCAGGGTGTAAAATCGTAGCTGACAAAGTTAATTGGTGATGGTCAATATATGATTTAATCATTCTTCCAGTGAGATAAACAAACTGCCATTCTAATACAAATAGTTTTGGATTTATTCTTTCCCAGTATAAATTTGGGATTGGAAGATTTTGTTTTCTATTCTACCCTGCATCTCTGAATAGTGAAGATTTTAACTTGCAGGGAGGAGTTGCTGGTGCTGAAAAGCTACAGAAATCTAGAATTCTCAAGAAGTTGCTCAAAGAACAAGATGCGGCTGGAAGAAAATGTGGAGCAGTTTGCTCTTCTCCTGCAATCCTGCACAAACATGGTCTGCTGAAGGTCAAGACTCAAGATAACCCATTTGACATTGTCCTGCCTATTAATTATTTTATGCTCAACAGTCAACACTAATAACCTCTGCCAAATACAGGAAATGAAAGCCACAGCTCATCCCTCTACCATAAGGGAAATCTCCAATGTAGTAGATGGTCCCAAAGTAGTTATCCATAGTAATCTGATCACAAGCAGGGGACTTGCTAATGTTTCAGATTTTACACTGTCTATTGTAAGCAAATTTTTTAGCCATGCAAGGGCTAGAAATGTTGGAAAAGGCCTCGTTTTTGAGTACCCCAGGATCTAATTTTTGAGTCATACCTGATGCATGGCAATTTTTCCAGATGCCATTAAGATATAAAGACAAGGCTTCCTCTCAACTTGGACAGCTAGTGGAAGGAGTAAACCAACACAAAAACATGCTCAACCATATCCTAAATGCTCCATGTTGGAGTTATCGGTGCTTTTCTTCTAGAAGTATCCTTCCCTTTTTGTGTATTTGTCATACCATAAACAGAGCTCACACCTGCCTACTGCTACTGGATCTTCAAATGCCTACCAATGTGGCAAAACAAGCTACAGGTAATTTGATATTTAAGTAGAACATACTAAAAGTAAAAGACTTGTATTTTAATGAGTTCCGATACTTTTCAATGTTTTACTTTTGACTAAACGTTCAATTAAAGATTTAACGTTTGCGTAATTTTTTATTAAAAATATTAACTTTAATTTGATTCAATATAAGATGTAATTTTTTCGGATTTGTTCGAATAAGACATTTCTGTTATGATTATGATTTACATTAAAAAAAAAATGTGAATAACAATTTTGCAGTATAATGAACACTAAAAATAACAAAAAACTATGTCTTCTCTGTTTTTCTTTTCAAGCAAACTTTGTTTTCTTGTTCTCTTTAACCGAAGAACAAATACTCAAAAATCAATCTTTTTCTCCATTGATCTTATCACCAATGACCATCGTCGGTGTTCATCCTTCACTAGTAGTATAGCTTCTTCATGGTTGAAATCAGAATTTTTGGTTCAACCCCTCTTTTGTGTTTTTCTTTCTCTAAATCTCTAAATCAAAAACCTAACAACCCAAAAAATGAAGAACTCAAGAATTACGAAATCTCATTGCCAGAATCGGACACTATTCACCATTTATTGTGTTGTTGATAGATCAACACTTCCTCCATTTTCTAACTCTTTTTTTAAACTCCGAAATTCTCAAAAAAAGCAAACTAAAAAAACCCCTTGTTGAGAAATTCCAAAAAAAAAATCAAACCCAGAAGAAATTTTTAAAAAAAATCAAATTAAAAAAAAAAAACTTGCTAAAAATTCCCAAAAAGAATCAAACCTAAAAAAAAAACCTTTGTTGATGAATTCTAATATTTTGCTGTTGTAATGGAACCCCCTTATTAGATCAATTGCTTATTTAAGGCTAATTGCTAATTGTTGATTTTATTGATGAATTTACTTTGTTGATTGCTTAACAAAAACTTTTCTCAGATCAATTGATTTTTAGTGTATTTTTTCCTCCCTTCAATGATTCAAAAATTTCGTCCAATTTTTTTTTTGCCTTTCAATGATTTTTTATTGTGAATTGCTACTATTTAGCCTCTCTTAATTAATTGTTCAAAGCTAATTATTGTTTATTTTCTGCCTTTCTATTGATCATCAATTTTTATCGTGTTTAATTTTTATATTTTATTTATTAGAGTTAACGAGTTTTAAAAAAAATATTAATAGATAATAGATTTAACGGTACGTGTAAATCATACCCATAATTTAATTTATATTTAAATAAATTTGAAAACATAATATTTTATATTAAAGCAAATTAAAATTAAAATTTTTAATTAAAAAATCACTCAAATTTTAATCTCAAATTGAATATTAATTTTACATTGATGTGGATAATGTGTGTCGACTGATGTGAACTGGAAATTGCAGCTGCAGCTAGACCTTTTCCGGGAATCCGGATAACGTAGTAATTGGGGGGGGGGGAAGGCTGCAGATTCGCCACTGTTATATTATTGTTCGGCTTTCTTCGACAAGATGAAACATGGGTCTAATCTGACCATGATATGCCATGTTTTAGGCCTCTTTATGTCTTTTAGGGGCTTGTAGACTTTTATAAACATAGGCATTTTTGGATATTTGGATTCGCTTTTGTTAATCATTTAACTTATTATCGATTAGTTATAAGTGAAGGTTTAATATGATATTAAAATTAAATTTTTTTTTTTTTAAATCTATTACTTGATAAATTTTTTTATCTAAACTTACAAGTGATAGAAGTTATTAAAATGATATAATCTTATTTTAATAAATATTTAATTTTTTATAATTTTATATTAAAATTAAATCTTTTTAATTATTATTAATTAATTTAAATTAACTATTAAATATAATATCAAAATCAAATTTTTTTTTCATTATTTTTCTTAATTTATCATGTAATAAATTTTTTCATATTTTTTCATCTTCTCCTTTTTATTTTATGTGGACTTACTAAAACAAATTATCTTTAAATCTTTTATAATCATATATTCGGATTAAATTTTTCACTATCAATTTATTAATTTTAAATTAATGCTTAATAGCTTTTACCAAAAACCATGTTTCTCTGCAGTCCTTTTCTGCCAAAGGCATCTCTAGTTTACGCTTTTGGGGTACGAGTCAAACTAAAAGGTGGATAGACATCCACGTAGATGGGATAAACGATTCCGCTGAATGAAGCTAGGACTTTGCCATCTGTCCAGTACGAAATTATAAGAAACTAAACGTGCACGACTTTTGTTCTTTCTCAAGGTTGCTTTAGAAACAGAAACACAAATTATCAACATCAACAACAAAATGGTTTCAACCAAAAACCATCAAAGACACCATGAGTCACCAGGGAAAAAAAAGCGTTAAATCTTAGGCAACCCCAACCGTCTAGATATTTGAAACATAAAAGAAATGTATTGGATAGAGTGTAAAATGTAAAACCATAATGGAACAAACATTTAACTGTCCTACAAGCCTTTATTGTCAAGGTTATATCAAGATAGGCAAACAGAGACCAAGCCAATAACTATGAGAAAGTCTAATCTACAGGGCGAAACTAATTATACTATTAAGTTCAAAATTTACAACTCAAAACCCTTTTGCTCCTCCTATACATACACTATCTACCCCCTCTGCAGTATCAAGATACGTATAATAGATTAACACCGCATTCCTTGTACCGTACCAATGGCCAAGATTGTATATTTAAGTAATGTTTCTACCATCAAGAGCTCCAAATCTACCAAGGGCCTGTCAGTGTTCTTCTCAAGCATTGTCTTTTCCGTCCCCTTGGTCGATTCAGTGTCTCTAACATCTGTTTGAATTAGGCAACAGAAAGAAGTAGGAAATCAGCAGTATCCTCTTTACAGGAACGTTAGTGAAAAAAAAAAAAAAAAAGGGTAACATTCATCCCTTGCTTAAGTTTCTGGTCAATCCACATTAGACGCAACTAATAATCAACCCCTTTACGTAACTGCCCTATCATTTTGTCAACCTAGAAAACTCCACTGATTCATCTTTGACTCCTTAATCCAGCATTTGCTATTCAGCATGTGTCAGCCTAGATAATTAACAGGTTGCCATCGTTTTGTTGATGTGATATGGTCGGCCAATTGTGTTGACATAAAAAAGGTGCAAGAGAAAAGGAAAGCTGGAAAGGAGATGATGAAGCAAAAGAAAGGTAATTGATTCCAAGTCAACCAATTCTTTACATAACGACAAATTGGTCTTTATTGATTGCAACTAATCACCCTGAAAAAATCTAGTTTCCGTGTCCAATTATAAAGAGAAAACTTCCATTTTCTTTTTAATCTTAGAATAATAAAATACAGATTTTGAGGCTTACTACTTTCACCATATAAAAACTACAGTGGGTAAAAGGGAACATCCCAAAACAGGATAACATTTCAATGAATATCCGTAAGACATTATACTATGGTTTGAAAAAATCTCGGTTTCTTTAGGCTTTGGAACACACCTAAAAGCTAGTCGCTGCTTATGAATGCTAATATAAATACAAGGAGGAAATGGAAGAAATGAGCATTACCTGATTTTTCTGCATTACCATTATTTCTTCCTGCACCAACCAAATAACAGTCAAGAAGGGCCATCCACCCAACCTTTTCCGTAAAACACAAAGAAGCTTAGCAGCAGACAGTGCTTACCTGTTTCTTCTGCAATTTTTGGTTCATTTCTTTAAGTTTTGCAACCTCAGCTTCAAGTTCTAATGTATAGGCCTGCCATAAACTCAGAACAGTTAATACAATCAGTTGTTTTACTTGGAGCGAAACTATAGATTAAAATAATTAATACAGCTGTAGGAGTTGAGTCCAAAAAGACAATTAAGGAACTTCCAGGATCACCAAGATTTAGCATTTTCAAACAATTTTCACACAAACATTTTTAATTTCCAAATGATTCTTGTGATACATAGAGCTAAAGGATAAATAAATACAACTGTAACAAATGAGTCAATATATGAGACGCCTGCACCATAAATTTGTCAATTTACTTTCTCATATACAGCATGTTTTGCTGCAGGCTTGTACAATGAGTTAGCTGTGTATTAAATTGGCACAATCAGTAATCTTGTCAGTAAATAGGGTTTGGTTAGAGTTTCTCATACATCTCAGAAATAATCCGGCAATCAAAAAATAGTGTTGTTTACAGGAATAGTAAGTAGAAATGAACTCAGGCTGCAACATTTCATATTAACACAAACAGAAAGCCATAACGAAAACGATGCACTGGGCAAGATTGGTTAAAATTTGTTCCAAACGACAGTTGCAGAACATTTCATCATAGTAGCTCTGCAGTAGCATTATATTTTATGTACCAACTACAAACCATACCAAACCACTATTTTCACACAAACAAAGCAGGGGCATTGTCCTAATCCTTATTCAGTAGCATGTTTTTAGCAAGGAACAAATTTAAAACTAACAAACTTTTTAAACAAGAAGTATCCACATAAATGAGCTTGAATCTATACATGGAAAGAAATAATATCTGATAACTTAAGGGAAAAAAAGTTCAGCGGATCAATCACCCAACTCACCTGCTTGCGAGCTCGTGATCTTGCAGCTGACTCTCTGTTCTTAATCATTCTTCTTTGCCTTCTCTCAACTACTTTCTCCAAAGTTGCACTGCATTTTCTTCCCCGTCCAAATACATAAGGAACTGGTGAAAAAGAAGAGGTATCTACGCTGTTCTTTGAAATCACATCTGAAGATATCTGGCATGCAGGAGATCCCAAACCAACTATTCCCCTCCCACCACTCGGGAGCCCAGTAGACTGAACTAGATTACCATTCAAAGAAGGTCCACCAATTCCAACCATTGAACCCCTAGCTCCTGGACTAGCGATCTGTGTAGTGTTTATTGAGTGCATAGAAGGAGCAAATGCAACTATTTGTTGCTTGGGAAAGAGTGGTTGTGGTTGTCGCTGCGGCTGTTGCTGTTGCTGTGGTTGTTGTTGCTGCTGCTGCTGCTGCAGCTGTGAGGATTTGACTGCACTCATGTTTAATGGTAACATTGGAGGCTGATTAAGAACTGAGTTATTGTTAGTCTGTTGAAACCCAAAAGCTAACCCAGAGTTGTTACCAAAGAATCCACTATTATTTGGCATTCCAATCTGTTGCATATCTTCTCTTACTACACCTGCCCTCACCAAGAATTCCTCCAAAGTCATCTCTCCCAAAGTCTGTTGCCTCTGTGGAAAATTTGCTCCTCCACCACCCCCAACACTACTAACACCTTTAGCACCGTCATTTTCTTTCATCAAGTCTCTCCATACTTCATCAACCGTTTTTTGACTAAGAGTCCTTGGCAATGTTAATGATCCTTGCCTCTGCAAACTGCCACCAGAAACACTTACTTCTCCTCCAGGAAATGAAGCTGTCATCATAGCCTGAGTCTCTTCAGCAGTTGATATATTTTTCAAGAGTTCATCAATGTTCATTGATCCAAAGTCCTTCCCAAGTCCACCAAAGGTGTTCTGAAGCTCATCAAAGGTCAATGAATATATGGATGACTGCCTAGCCAATGGGAAATTCCCCAGTGGCTTTGATCCGTTCTTTTCCATACTTGGAGCATCACCAAAGTTCTTGAAATTCAGATGAGATCCCATTTCTTGTTTCGAACAGCAGCAAACACAGATGACCTCAATTCAAATTGCCCTACAAATCCGACAAAGGAGTAGGTGAGATGATTATGTCATTCAATTTCCCTTACATAACTTTTTTTCTTCCTTAAACACAAGATCTAATAAATGTTCACCAAACCAAGCAAAGTTTAAGTTAATCGTACATAGCATTCTCATTACATTTCCAATGATGGGCATACATTTTAATCCCAATTCAATTAAATCATAAATGTCAAACTGCAATAAAATCATAGCTATCTATCACAACCTTTAAAACATACCAAAAAAAAAAAAAGAGAAAATAAAGTCTTAAAAAATATCGGAACGAATAAAGATGAAAACTTTCATGTTAAATCTCGAAATTTCAAAATTCTCCAGCATGTATTACAAAGTCTACAATCATAGATATAACCAAACAAATTGTCCTGCAAATCCACCCAATTTCTGATGATATAAAGAATATTCTGAAATAATTTTTGTGTTATTTTATCTTTCTCCAGAACCCAGATCCAAAAAACCAAAAGGAAAAAGAAATTCAATCTTGGAGCTAGAAACTAATCAACAACTAACAAGTGTCGAACTGCCATCTTTTCTCATGCTAGTGAACGTTCGTATCCAGAAAACAGCACAAAAATTGAAGCGTTAACAGAATCAAAATACAACCCATTATTCCAAATCATAAAACCTATCAAGAGCATGTACATCAAGAAAAACTCAACCCGCGTAAGAAAAAAAGAAATCAAATGAAAACATTTTTTCTTTGTTTATAGAACAGAAAAACAAAAAAAAAAGTAGGTATTTTAACTCCTAGTACAAAATCTCTTCCTTAATCAATTCAAAATGGCTTCCTTAATCAAGAAAATTGGAACAAAAAATAAAAAAAAGAAACTACAAATAAAAAAAAAGACCAAAAATAAGAAAAATGAAAAAGAAAACAAAATAAAACAGAAAAGAACAAAGAAGAGAGAGGAAGAGGAAAAAAGAAAAAGACTCTTCCTTTTTTCTTTTACCTTTTAATTTTAAAGAAAACAAATAAAAATAAAAATAAAAATTGTTGAAAATCGAGCGATAGAGCGTGGACTGAGCGAGAGAGAGAGATTGTGTCGTTTCTCTGAGCAGAAAGGAGGCGGCTTTAGCTGCGTGGAGGCGACAAGTGTCTACTGCCGCCTCAACACGGGTCGAAATTTAAGGAGCTGCAGCTGCCCCCAATTTTGGTGGATTTAATTGTAATTTTCTTTGTTTTGTTTTGTTTAATTATTATAAAATTTACGTGGCAGACTGCTTAAGCGAGGAGATCGAGCAACGTGGATCAGTAGAAATTTAGTCAAATCTTGATGTGACGTCTAGCCAATGCGGTAGAGAAAGATGGGACATTTAGAACCCTCAGATCTGCTTTCCGACAAAGTGATCGGATGGCAAATATTTGGAGTTAGGAGGGGACACATGTTTTCCGTGATTTTTCGGTTTTTATTTTGTTAATTTACCAAATTATTATCGGCCAAAAAAAAATTACTGTTTTCAAAATTAACAATAAAGTTCATAATTTAAAAAAACTTACATTCATCGAAAAATTATTATCATAAAAATCAATAATAATTTATTATGAATGACTAGCTAGAATATGATTTCCATATTAAATTCCATGAATGTAAATTTTTTGTGTTGAAAAATTATGTTTGAAACATTTTTTAATTAAAAATATTTAAAATTTTAAATAATCATGTTATTTTTAAATTATTATATAACTAGTTTTAAATTACATAAAAAATAATTATTTTTATAAAAAATTACATGTGTTGAACTTTTAAATTATTATATAAATTGTTTTTAATTACATAAACAGACAGTTAAATTTAAGATTTATGATTTACAATAAAAATTTAACATTAATGGTAAAAAAAAAAAAAAGAAGAAAATGAGAATAGAAGTAGAAAAAGAATGTGTGAGAGTTAAAAATATAATTTATTAAAAGGTAAATAAATTATTTCACTTAATTTTATAACAAAAATTTAAAAGTGTACAAAGCATTATTCGCGGTATGTTTAGAATCACTCACATCTCTTTAATTTTGACTTAGGCGAATAGGCAATCTGTACCAATGATGGGTTCCTGTGCACCACGTGGCTGCCCAATATTCGTTCTTATGCGTACCATATTATATAATAGTGGGCCCACACATTGGCAGTCCTATTCTCCACAGTCTAACTTCATTACGTCACATGTACGTCTCCTCTACCATTCTTATTAATTTATACTAATAATCTACTTTTAGTATATTATATTAATAAGTAATGATACCAATGCCTGATGGTTTGAACGGGAACTCGATTCTCTTTTAAATAAAATATTAATTTTAAATTTTATAAATAAAAAAATAAATTTGAGAGAATTTATTATTTTTAATGAAATTTGATTTGAATTGATTTTGAATTAATCGAATTTTAAAATAATTATTAAATATAAAAAAATCTTAAATAAAAAAAAATATTAATAACAATGTCAATTTATTTTTAAATTATTTAGCATGATATTAAAGTCGATATTTAAAAATTATAACATAAAAAAAGTTTTGCATTTAAAAATTATAAAATAAAAATATTTTATGCATATAACATATTCATTTAAAATTTAGGATAAAAGGATTTAGGGGTAACTATAATTTTCAAAAAAATAATAATACCTTTAATTTTGAAAAATTTTAAATCTTAACTAGAAAAATTAATATTTATAAAATTATAATTTGTTATTCTCTCTATATTTTGGGTAATCAAACAATCCACAAATTATTCATTAAAATTAATTTAATTGATAGTTTTTATTAATTAAAATTTGATTATTATGATGAATATTTCGAAAGTGAAATATTTAAATATATCAACTCCATGTGAAAATGCACTTTTATATTTTTTTAAATAATATTAAACATAAATAAAATTTAAAAATATTATTAATCACATTATATAAAAAAAAAAAACCATTCATAAATCAGAAAAAATAGTAGGATTATTCTTTAGAGAAATTGTGGATTAAAAAAGTTTAGACCAAAGTAATAAATTCAAAATTTAAAATTTTTTTCAACGAGATTTTGCGGTTGAAATATCTCATGATAACAACAAATACTCAGAAGTATGATCTTTATTTACTCAGTTTGATAATCCAATTGACGAATTAAATTTGGTTAGTCATAGTCAATAAATATGCTTTGAAAAGATTTGGCTGAAATAAGAACAAATTCACGAATTTTATTATTTTATTTAAATTAATTCCTACATTTTTATTATATCTACATATTTTATGAATTTTGATTTATATTCAAATAAGTTATTAACTTTTAATTTGTATCTAAATAATTATTAATCTTTAATTTGTATTTAAATAAAATTTAATATAAATTAATATTTTATTTAAAATAAGAGTTTATTTAGATACAAATTAAAAATTTATTTAAGTAGAATAAAAATATAAAAATTTATTTAATAAAAATGAAATAACTCAAAAGTTTTTTTTTTTTTTGAATATTTGAGTCAAATTTAATCGTAACAACAATACTAAAATAATTGTCAAATAAAACTTAAAATTTAATTTAATTAATTTATATAATCATTTTTAAAATATATAATTTATTTACAAATTTGTTTCTTTCTCTTAACAACTAATTGTAAAATAAATGTTATCCAATTTGTTATCGACAAAAGAAGGTTTTAACGCTAGGCAATATTCGCTACAGAGATAAATAAGCGTTTTTTTTTTTTTTTCTGTTTTTTTTAACAAGAAATTTGCTTTTTTTTTTTAAATAAAATTAATTTTAAACTTAGGATATTAATAAAATCTAGCATATTCGTTAATCTACTAAGGAAGTATAATGAAAATTAGAGATAGACAGCCTAACCTATTTACCAGGTTGCAACCCAATCTCTCATGTTTTTTTTTTTTTTTTATGAAAATTAAAATTTAGGTTGGATTGGATAATAATAAAAAAAAATTGAGATAGGATTTTAAGTAAATTTAACTCCATATATATATATTATTTTTAATTATTTATTTAATTTTATATTTATATATTTATTTAATTTTATATTTATATTAAAAAATATTTTATTAATTTTAAGTCGAATAAAATATAATTTATATGATATTAAATTAGATTGATTTAGATATAAAAAATTCATCAAATTAGATATTATAATTATAAAATTAAATTTGATTCATATAATAAAATTCATTCCGACCCAATTCGACTGATGAAAACCATTATTTTGTCTTTTATTTTCGTCCAAAAAAGGTAGTGCAACAAACAATCAAATGGAAATGGGCCTCATATGCCATGTTAGTTAAAATATATTTTCAAAAAAAAATTATCATTTGTGTTAAGTAATTAAAAAATTTAGTAAACTATACACTTTGAAAAACATTTAAAATTTACATTCAATGAATAATACTTTATCTTAATCTGCAAGTCAAGTAAACTTTAACTTCATTTCAATCCAAATAATTAACTAAAAATAAGAATCCCTCCTTTTTTTTTGTTTTCTTAATTCACTCTTTGCTTTTGCATTTAGTTTAACAGTACGTTGTGCCTTAGTTCATTCTTGGATATATGTTTACTTGAGAGAGCTTTGAGCATTGAGATAGATTGGAGAAAATGAGGGTGCAAATTCCTTTAAAACTAAAGAAAACTTGTTGATTCTGGTTAATTTCACAACTTCAGATTCAAAAATCTAACTTAAATTCTGTAAATTGGGTATGGTAGTAAATCATGGAATCTATATTGGGTATTCGGGATGGTGTTCTGTGTTAATTGGATACCCCGGTTTTCACTTGAGTTTCTTGTCTCCAGTGTGGAGTTATTCCAATCCTGCAGCCAATTGCACCTTGCTAAGCGCCTTCATGCCCTTGTTGTGGTTTCCGGGAAAGCTCAAAGCATCCTTTTCTCCGCCAAACTTGTCAATATTTATGCTTACCTTGATGATGTCCCCTTCTCTTGTCGCACTTTCAATCAGATTCCTGTTAAAGATGTCTATACTTCGAATTCGATGGTTTCTGCTTATGTTCGCAGTGGTCATTTTCGGGAAGCTTTAGATTGTTTCTATCAGTTTTTCTTGACCTCTGGTCTTCAACCTGATTTCTACACTTTGCTCCCGTGCTAAAAGCTTGTAAAAATGAGACATTGCTTGGTTCTAAAACTTGGCTTTGAATGGGATGCCTTTGTTACTGCTTCCTTGGTCCATACGTATACCAGGTTCAGAATTGTGGGCTCTGCTCGTATTGTTTGATGATATGCCTGTACGAGATATGGGTTCTTGGAACGCAATGATTTCTGTATACTGTCAAAATGGCAATGCTGCACGGGGATTAGATTTTCTGAATGAGATGAGCTTGGAAGGGGTAATGATGGATCCAGTTATTATAGCTAGCATTCTTCCTATTTGTGCACAATCAGATGATTTTTTAAACGGGACGATGATTCGTTTATATGCTATAAAATGTGGGTTGGAATTTGACTTGTTTGTGTCTAATGCTTTGATTAACGTGTATGACAAATTTGGTAAATTGAAGCATGCGCACAAGGTTTTTGATCACATGATGGTGAGGGATGTAGCCTCATGGAACTCGATAATTGCTGCCTATGAGCAGAATGATGATCCAAATAGAGCATTGTGTTTATTCTACAACATGCAACTAATTGGACTAGCCCTGATTACCTGACGCTGGTGAGTCTATCTTCTATTGTTGCTCAATTAAGTGATTGTTGGAGTGTTAAGTCTGTCCATGGATTTGTCATGAGGAGAGGTTGGATTCTGAAAGATGTCATCTCTGGAAATTCAGTGGTGGACATGTACGCAAAATTGGGTATTATGGATTCTGCGTGTGCAGTTTTTGAACCTCCCAGCTAAAGATGTGGTATCTTGGAACACATTGATCACTGGTTATGCTCAAAATGGTTTGGCAAGTGAGGCAATGGAAGCATATGACATGACGAAAGAGTACAAGGAGATGGCACCCAACCAAGCGACTTGGGTGAGCATTCTCCCTGCTTATTCTACTGTTGGAGCCTTGCAACAAGGGATAAGAGTTCATAGGCAGCTGATTAAGAACTCTCTCTATTTGGATATCTTTGTGGGAACCTGCCTCATTGACGTGTAAGACGCTATTTAAAGAAATGCGAGTAGAGGGCGTGAAGCCGGACCACATAACTTTTGTATCTCTGCTCTCAGTTTGTAGCCATTCAGGTTTGGTTAAAGAGGGTCGATGGTGCTTTAATGTGATGCAGGAAGAATATGGGATTGAGCCAATTTTGAAGCATTATGGCTGCATGGTAGATTTGTTTGGTCGAGCTGGAGATCTAGAAATGGCATATAATTTATAAAAAACATGCCAGTAAAGCCTGATGCATCTGTTTGGGGTGCCCTTCTTGGTGCTTGTAGAATACACGGCTTCAGATCGCTTATTTGAAGTGGATTCAGAGAATATTGGGTACTATGTTCTGTTGTCAAACATCTATGCAAATAGCGGGAAATGGGAAGGAGTAGATAAAGTAAGAGCACTGGCGAGAGATAGGAGATTGAGAAGATTCCTGGATGGAGCTCGATCAAGGTTAATAACAAGGTTGATGTCTTTTATACTGGAAATCAAAGCCATCCGAAAGGTGAGGACATGTACAAGTAGTTGAGGAGTTGGGAGACAACGGATTGCAAGTAGGATTGAGTAAATTTTTTGTTGGATTGATTTTCGGTAAAGTCTGAGCATACACATCAGACAAGGCCAAAGGAAAAATGAATGCTTTCCCTAGCCGCCGCGAAACAGCGTCCTGACACGGCGGTGATCCCAATGCGGAGACGTTACGTGCCTTCGCAACCTCCTCCCTCACAACCACGGCCTTTGTACAATCAGCGGTCACGGTCCTCTGACGCGGAGCGAGATGAGGCGTGGCTCAGGCGGGAGGAAAGCTATGGCGTGGGGCTCCGCCGTACCCACAGCTTCACGAACGATGATCTGGAGGAGCTCAAAGGCTGTATCGAGTTAGGTTTTTGGTTCGAACCCGACTCACCTGAATTGGACCCGAAGTAAGCCGATATTTTACCTGCTTTGCCGTTTTACTGCTCCAACAATCATCAATATAGCGGTAGATTGTCGATGTCTTCGTCTACATCGTCGATGTAGTCTTTCAGTGATTCTGGTAGCATTAGCACGATAATTGATCAAGGTAAATTTTAGTATTAAAAGTAAAAGTATATTATATTCAACCAAAATATCATTTCGTCGAGGATTCTTAATTGTTTGATGCGAATTATTGGCTTATAGGCGACGATCCAGAGACAGTTAATACTGGGTTGCGGCAATGGGCGCCAGTGGTGGCAGGCAGGAGAATCAAATTGACCCCGGATTTTTATTGTTTCTGGTTATTTTTTATAGAAACATGAAAGTATTTTATGTAGTTGATTCGATTTAAATCATTGATAGAAGCATTCGTCCTTCCGATATCTGTTTTTTTAATTATATTTATTTTCGTTTAAGAATATCAATTATTAAGATATATATAAGTAACATGAAATATTTTTATTTTCAAATTTTTATATTATATTATTTTTATATCTATATTTAATTTTATAGATATTTTAAATTTATTTTTCTATTTTAATGAATATTTAACGAGCATGATAATTTTTTATACTCATAATTTAAAAAAATAAATTAAAAAATAATTTTTTTTATTTTTAAATTTTACTTATTATATTTAAATAATTTTTTTTATAATATATAATATATATACTTTTAATAAAAATAAGTTAATTTTAATTAATTTAAAATAATATTTTATATTATTTAATAAAAATTTTATACATTAAATATATAAAATATATATGTAAAATATGGATACGAGATGAATGTTATATTATAAATCTTTATTTTCATATTTAATAAAAATTTAAAATAATTTTTATTTTTATTTTTATATCTATAATATAACACTCATTTTCATTTTCATTTATATAAAAAATTAAATTTTTTATTAAATATGAATAAAATTAATATTCTTGTTTTTGTATATTTATTTGTTCTTATTTTTCACTAGAATTTAATGATATGAAAAAATTTCATGATTAGTTAAGGTTATATGTCGCAAAAATAAAAATACAACATGATTTCACCTTTTACCCAAACAAGACACTCAAAATTTTTTTTTTTGTTGAAACATCTAATAAGATAATCGTGTTCCAAGAGCGAAAACAACAATATTATTTACTAAAATTTAAAAATATAAATAAAAAATATTTCTAAAAAAATCAGATATTTGATGTATGATTTATTTAATTAAAAAAAAAATTCGAATCCCCATTTTTTCAAATAAAAAAAGGTTTGAAATTTCATATCCCGTAATTAGAGTTTTACTCTATTCCAAAGACAATTATGCGTAATTATAGTGTTGCATTGCCCACGTGATTTGTTAGGCGTTACATATTACGCGATTGACTCGCCTCCAGTAGGAACAATCACCGAATCGTGCAACAAAAGGCGCCGCATCATAATGCACAAAAATACAAAGAGCGCGTGAAGCCCACTTTCGAGTCACCGAATTTTCCATTCTGCAATTGGAATTGGGTAGGCGAGCAAACAGCGAAGCCTTAAGGCAGGGAGACAAATAAATATCTGGTTGACATTGGCCGAAGATATTATCGCTTTTGATGACGTGGCACCTATCTGAGGATGACACGTGTTAAAGCGTCGCTATGTGGAGCCTTCATTGGCCCCAACCCCAACAACTGAACAACATCGCCGTTCTCTTCCCTCTCCTCTCTCGATTTTCTCTGCTAAATTGTAGGAACAATTTTCTTTTTAAATTAAACAATTTTCACGTTTTTTTTTTTATTTCAAAGGACAAAAAAAAAGGGAAGGAAAATACAATGGGAGACAATCTCCGGCGAAGTTTTCCGTTTCCGGATCCGTCTTCAGATCCCCAGGCTTGTGTAAGTGAGTTGACTCGAACGAACTCGGACTCCTCTGGCTCTGGCGTAGCCATTGAGAGCTTCAGAGATCCAACTGCAAATGCAAGACTGGTAATTTTCCTTTCATTTTTTGACTGAATTATGGCTTTGCACCTTTTTTTAGTGATATGGTAATGAGATTATATTTTGACTGCACAAAATTTGTTCGGTGTTGTTTTCTTTTATGAATTATGGAATAATAGAGACAAGAGGAGATCTCTTCATTTAAGTCGATGAGGCTGATTTTAGAAGTTGCATACAGTTTTTTTTTCATTTTTATTTTTCATTGATGAGGTTTTATTTTTCAAAAATGAAGATTATAATTAAGCATTTTATTTTAATAAATCTTCGTTTTTTGAATAGACCGTCACAATCTGTTGAGTTCTTTTCAGTTTCTTTAAATTTTGGAATCTACTAATCTTTTAATTGAGATCTCAGTTTTATAATGCTTAATAATTTGATGTGAATTACGTTTTTGGAGTAGGGAAATGGAAATTCACAGTAAAAATTATAATTATAACTAATTTCTTTATTCAGCAACAATTAAATGCTGGTTGTTGGAATCAATTGTTTAATGGGGGGCATCGGTTACTGCAAAATCTTGTAGTTCTTCATAATTGTACTCTATGGCTTTAGATATTGCGTTATTAATCATACTCTTTAAAATGCCAATCTTAGAGCCAAAATTTTGATATCTCATATGCTCTTACTTTGTTGAGATATTTGTGGCGATAAAAATTGTTGGAAGCAACTCCTCTAATGTTTAAGAAATTTTTGTCCTCAATATTAATGAAAAAGGGATATAATTTCAAAGAATTGCCGGCAAAGCAACTGTGATGAGCTCAAAACTTGGGTTCTCTATCGATCAGCCTGTGATTTCTAGTGCACCAAATAGAGCAGGAGAGAACATAGCAACTCTTCATTCCCTCTACTTGCTTGTTGGAAATATGATAAAATGGATAATCGAGGTGGCTTAATTTGCTAATTTGGGTTTAATTTTTCTTTTTCTTTCCATAAGAAGATTGAATTTCTAAAAATTTAATAGTGGAAGCAGGTTTAAAGTTCCGTTTTTCACTCTATGTGGAATTGGCTACATTTTTGTTCATGACTGTTCACTTTTAGTTTTTGTATGCTATTATGATCCGTTGTCCTGTTCTTTTATGTTTCGGAAACATTTTTAAAGTGAAATCTCAAATTTATTTTAGGCATTTTCTATTGGACCAGTATCTCATCTTTTCTTAACAAGTATCCAAATAAAATGGTTGATTGAGACCAAAGGTTGGGTGAATGATCTGGAGTATTCCACATTCTTGTTAATACATGCTATATGAATCTTGAGGGCATACTGAGGTTGAATGCAAGATTTGTGGGAAAATAGCCTATATGTCATTCTCTTTGCCCAAGGCTAAGCATTTGGATAGAAAAAGTGTATTACGACACCCTTAATGGAAGAAGATAGTGTTCTCTTGGATTAAGTGATTATTGATTTATCTCATACTAGCGCCCACCCCCCAAAAAAAAAAAAAAGTTATTTCTATGGATCATTATGTTATTATGGAGATCTGTTGTCTGCCCCTTTGAGAAAGAAAAAGTACATACTTGTTTTTTATGACCACTAGGATCTAGTTCCCTGTAGATTTGCAGCATGTTCTAGTTCCTTCTATTTAAGTTCAACACTTCCATTTCCTTAATTCATTTAGTATATAAGATGGAGTTCTACTGGAGGTGATTAGTTTCCCTATTCAAAGCATCATAAATGTCTTGTACATCCTTAGTTTGCTATCAATATTTCTCATGAACAGCTTTAGTTGTCTGGTCATCTTCAACTTCCTCATGTAGTTTTCAGGACTGCAATCCTGGATTCCTTCGGTTAGTATTGCAATTTCCTCTTGCACTACCTAGTTCTTCCAACCTAGGCTTAAGTATTTGTTGAGCACCTTTTGCCAACTGTTTGCCTATAACAAAATCTATCCAAGAAATCCAAAAAGGTGGGAGATTTGGTAGAACCTAGCAGAATGATCCTTCAGCTATTTGAAGTCATTGTGGATTGGATGGTTAGTTAAAGAATGTCCTCTTATTGAGGAAACTCGTCTTTCTTTATTAGTTAGTCTTATGTAAATTGTTGAATTTTTCCCCTTGCAATATATGGTGTTCAATTTATCTCTTTAAGGTTAAAGCCTTCCTTCTGTGTTCAGCTTTATTGGTTTCAATTGTTATTTTAATTTTTAACTTAGCAGGGTCAAACTATGGTTTGGACAAATGAGAAGCACAGCTCGTATCTTGAGTTCTTAGAAGCATCATTTGTTAAGCAGTTGCATTGTTCTATGAGTTTGCGTGGCTGTCACCCACGAGAGGAAATATGGGAGCCATGTCCAACACCACAACTGCCAGCCAAAGGACATAATTATTCTCATCAGGTCAGAGGCTTAATCTGCTTGTCATCTTCACCTTATGGTGTTACCTCAATTAATTGCCTTGCTTCAATTAATTGTCATTTTTTCAGTTATTGGATCTACAAGATTGCTGCTGCCATAAGATAAACTGTGAGAGCAAAGACCCTTTGGAAAGCACTGCTGATTCTAGTGATATCTCGCGAAGTCCATGGTTACATCATTTTATGTCTTCAGGCAAAAGCAGCTCAGCAACATTTCCTGTTCCAAGAGAAACTGCTGTTTCCAGTGATGGAATCTACTTGAGAAGTAATACAAACTTGGGTGGCTGCACCACTGGTAAATCTAGCCTCAATCTGCTAGCATGTTTTCCTCTTCTTATTGTTTTTATTCATTTCTGTGATGAGTTTCCCCATTCCATGCTAGCTGTGTATGCTTTTAACTTTTGCATTGCACTTTCCCATGAACATGCATCATTTGCGTGGAGATTTTCGTAAACAAACATGTTGTATTCTCCTATTATGCTTTTGATGGAAATGTTTCTTGAATGAGCCTTTTGGGTTATGTAGATGGTTTAACACCAGTGAAGGCCTATAATTTTGGCTCTCTCTCTCTCTGAACTTATAATGATTGGTGAAAGCAACTTGATCTTACTGATGTAAAGTCTTATGAGTGGTTGCCATTGTTCAGTGGCGCTTCCAAATTTCACAATGAATGTAACAGCTTTTTCATATCTGTGTGGATTTTGTTGTTTGTTGCTACTGGAGATAATGATGGATTCTGGAGGAAGGACTTATAGAGGATGTTATTTGTTGGATTAGTACGGATTGGATGAAGTGCCCGTTTGGCTCAGTGACAAGGTGCGGTGGTGACTGAGGAGGTCCTCCATCACACCAAAACCCCAGTTTCTCACTGTAACCCCATCCTAACAGACTCAAAATGGAGAGCTGCCTTGTGGGGAATTCTGTTTCAGTAAGATCAAGCTGAAGGGAACACAATGAAATGACCAGGTTTTGCTGTACTAAGTTGAAAGGAAAATGTTATAAAATGGTCGTTAGAGGAGCCTGCTTTATCTACTAAGAGCTTGGAGATTATAAAACATCCCAATAAATTCACTTATAGACAGGATATTGAGCTTATACAAGAAAAGAGAGGATAATAAATGAAGGGTTTAGCAAATTGGTAAAAACAACTTCCTGCCTATAATCTTAGATGGTTTGGTCATCTGCAATATAGATCTTAAAGTGCTTTGTTAAATAAGAACTATTAGATTGAGATCACGAGAGTTGAAGCAATAAAAATAGATTTGGAACTTTTGATATTTTATAGGCTATAGCCCTAAATCTATTTTTATATATGGGGGATCTAATTGGGTTACTATGAGAAACCATGCAAGGGACTTGTGATTAAGCCTCCCTAATTCCTTGTACAGTAGCCAGTTTCTGTTGGCTATTCCTTTATTTCTGGTAAATTTCTCTTATTTTCTGTGATTTCAGAATTTCTTGCCATCTGGATACTTTTCATTTGATAGTTCTTGAAGAGAAATTTATTTTATTTTCTTTTGTTTGCTCCCTGAGAAATTTTTAACTTTTTATTTTGTTAATGTGGATTGATTGCTGTATTTTTTGTTAAACTCAAGTATTTGGTCTTTTATAGAGTTCTCAGATCAGAATTCTCAGATCAGAATTTTGTGGATGAAGACCAAAGAGAAAATACCAGCTGTGTGACTGGGGCAAAACGCTTGAAGATGGTGACAATGCTTGATGCTTCAAGCAACAGTCAAGTAAGGTTAAAATTTAACTGTCTCAGCTACTTCTTTACGAGTTCTAAATTGTTTGAGATGATGTTCCATGTTTGGAAATCTCAATTGTATTACCCATGAAACTCTTCTTCAGGTTGTGCCACTTGGAAAATTAAATTCAGTAGATGACGCAATCATTAGTAATACATCTGCAAAAAGAGGAAACAAGAAATCTCTGTCAAAGCACCCGGAGAGCTTCATCTGCCGAAAGTCTGACATACGTCACTTTCTAAGGGAGAGTTAAATTACTACCATGAACCAAAAAAGTCAATGATACATGTTGGCCCTAAAGACAAGTGACAAATTCAGCAAGTTCGTACCCGCTGCTTGTTTGAAGAAGAATGCTGGGAGAAAATTTCGAACGAGGAACCGATTGCTGGTTCTGAATGGCCACACTTGTTGGGCACAACATGCTGATTGTGCAGTTAGAAGATTTGACATAGATTTAAGGAAGAATTCTTTTGTTCTTTTGCCCTCTTTTGTTATTGGATCTGCACTGCTATTTGCTTATACCTAGCTTGCATGCTAACTAATTTCTGCTAGCCATGTAAGCCAGCCGGTTGGCACAATGAATAGATGGTGAATGCAATTTACAAACAGCGGATAGGAAAGGGTGTTTCGGAGCTGCCAATGATGTTAGTCCTTGGTGTCTAAACTCTAATTTTCTCCGGATGTAACATTGTTACTGCATATTAATTCAGAATCTTGATGACATATTGTAAATGCAAACAAAAACCTTTTTTTTTTTTTGGATTTAAAGTTATTAAAATTTAAACCCTTATGACTGTAAGTCTGTAACTAAAAACCAAATTTGAAGAAAGTGTAAATTTTTTCTTCTCTATATTAAAATAAAATATTGTAATACTAATTTCTCTAAAATATGTATGTAATCTAATAAAAAAAAAAAAAAAAGGGAAAACGAGAGGAAACTATTGAAGAGCCTCTCTTTAGTGTTTGCTCCACTAGGCCTCACCTCAGCCTCCTCTGCTGCTACGCTAGCTAGCGTCCAAATTCGAACTCAAGTAGAAGTCGAACGCCCTACCAGACCCAAACTCCGTTTGAACGAGGAATATCTACGTCCTGCCGCTAACTGCCAAGTTGTAAACTTTTCCTGTTTTTTCTTGGACAACTTATGAATAACTTTTTCTAGTAACATAAACAGATAAATCCTTGGAAAAGAACCAAATTTATCTTCTTTCAAACTTCAAATTTGAAAGGGAAAGAGGGAAAAAGGCTCTGTTTTTGAAAGATGGGTATTGTCTCAAATCTTAGAGGGCCAAGAACGCAACAAGGGTTGCCCTTTTCTGATGGGTTGCCATCTTCTACATCCACTTCCAACAAGAAAAAATGGTTCAATTTGATGCCTTTAGTTGTGGCCCTTGTTGTCATAGCTGAAATTGTGTTTCTGGGTCGTCTTGATATGGCTAAAAACGCTGCCTTTTTGGATTCATGGCCTGAGATGTTCTATAAATCACACTCTTCTGGTGAAGTAGAGGTAGCTGGCGTTGAAAATTTTGGTATTCAAGCTTTGGGTGGTGATCAGAACTCAGTTGCTGAGAGCTGTGAGGAATGGCTTGAGAGAGAAGATGCCGTGGTTTATTCAAGGGATTTTGGCAAGGATCCCATCTGGGTTTCTGGTGATCAGCAGGTTTCTTCACTGTTTCTTTTCTTCCTTTTTCTTTTTTGAGTAACATGATAGTATGATCAATGTTAGTTTTTTGGCATTTGCTAGTTCGTTAGATAATATAGCGTATTGGGCACTATACTGATTTTCTGTTTGGATTTTGAACCTTTAGCTATTAAGATTGTTAATTTTTCAGAGTGATATATCTGCGAAATGTGAGGTTATCCATAAGTGTTATTTGCCCATTTTACCACGATTTGACAGAAATCATACAGGAAAATGAAGATAACATAATGTTTATGTATTATTGCTTTTGAGTGAAGATCATATCTTCATAGTTTTTCTTGAGGCCAAGGGAATTGTCTTGGAAGTCAGAGAAATATATATGTGTTTATCCTAGGTATCTCCTCCATTTTTTCTACTCTATTACTTTAGGAATTAAAATGATACTGATGCTAGTCCACTCTAAATGTTCATGTCATTTTGCTTATCATTCTTCCGAGCTTTGATGTTGTTTAGAAGTTGAATTTCTTAGTTGGCTTTGGGAACTTTAGTAAATCCAAATAAGTGGTCTTAGGTTTAATCATGTCTCCTTGTGTATTACTGACTTCCTCTTCTTGGTATGTAGGAGTGGAAAACTTGTTCTCTGAGTTGTATGTTTGGATTTGATCCGAGTAAGAAACCCGATGCTGCCTTTGGTTTGCCTGAAAAATCTGGAGTAGCTAGTGTGCTGCGTTCAATGGAATCAGCTTCCTACTATTTACAGAATAATATTGCTATGGCAAGACGGTGGGTAAGCACAATCTATAATGACTTGGTTGCATTTGAAACAAACAAAGATTTTTATAATGACTTGGTTGCATTTGAAACAAACAAAGATTTTGTCCTGAACATCGTTGGACTTCTGTGATACTCTATTAAGTACTTTTTTCTTCCCAATATTCTTGTTAACAAGCTTTTACCTCCTCTATGCAAGTGAATTTCATACTATTAAATAAGATATTTTCTGTGAATTACTCTTAGAAGCTATGCTCTGTGGACACCAACATTAATGCGATGCTTCAACACAAACATGTTTCCAAGACTCTAGGCTCATTGACATGGCTATACACGTTTTTATAATATTTAGCAATACGTCTAATATGTTTATGTAATTACTAACAGTTTATAGGATTTCTGACAAAAAAATTCAGTAATTCTACTAACTTCTTTTGGTAATTAAGCTGGCTTCTCTTGTGGAAATGTTGGGTATAAATGAACTCAACTATTTCCCCCCAAACTGTTGGACATGTGCCAATTATATCATTGGATAAGTCTCCTACAAAGCTAGGCTCCAAAGTGGATTCTAACTAATAGGGAAGTCTGTGTAAAACTAACAGTTTCATTTCCTTTTCCTTTTGAATTAGGAGGGGTTATGATATTGTAATGACAACTAGCCTCTCATCAGATGTTCCTGTTGGATATTTTTCATGGGCTGAGTATGATATCATGGCACCAGTGATGCCGAAAACTGAGACGGCCATTGCAGCTGCTTTCATTTCTAACTGTGGTGCCCGCAACTTTCGTTTAGATGCCCTTGTTGGCCTTGAAAAGGCAAATATCAAGATAGATTCTTATGGTGGTTGCCATAGAAATCGCAATGAGAGAGGTGACTTTTTATGCTTTTTGATATTTAAACTAATTATATGCTGGCTTGAATTCTAATGTTAAATTATTAAATGATAATTAATTCGTGGAATACCCTAGAGGTAAACTATAAGTGATCCATGTCTTATGTTTTCTTTTACTTTAAAACTTTCCCTGCATTTCTGAGGTTACCAGTTCTCTGTACCTGAGATATATTCTTTACCTTGGAAAATCAACCTTGAACTCTTCAGTGCATTACTCTTATAATGATTATGGTTTCTCAAAAATAGTGAAAGATCATAAAATTTTTTCCAGTGATACAACTCTAGCCAACGCACCATTTCTGCTCATGCAGGATTGGTGTTCTCCCTCTTTATCTATTGTCTTTGTAATATTGTATGCATATATATATTCAACATAGTATACATGCTGTATCTAAATCTATACACATTAATTGCTGTGGATATCAATGCCGGTTTGTTATTTCAATTGCTATACAAAAAGTTATAAGTCATTCTAGCGAATGACTGTTTGGGGGAAACTGTTTTGCACAAATGCAGAGCTTAAAGAGTGGATTGAGGCACAAACTTCAGTGACTCACCTCATTCATGTTCATGTGCACTGTGTAAAGTAATATATGAATATATTTCTGTAAATTTTGCAGTGGACAAAGTGGAAGCTCTGAAACGCTATAAGTTTAGCTTGGCTTTTGAAAACTCCATTGAGGAGGATTATGTCACAGAAAAATTTTTCCAGTCTCTTGTTGCAGGTATGAACATTACTTCTGATGGCCCCTTAAAACGTTATATTATGACAGAGGATTTGATAGACAGAAATATTTCTTTTCAGTTCTTGGCTCCTTTTGATTGATGTTTGAAAACTTCATTCTACTTGAGTCTCTGAAATTGAATTTAAATGTCTATTAGGGAATTAATTCTGGTTTGGAATAAATGCAGAAAGTTTTGCCAAAAATTGAGAAACAATTGGTATAACTAATTTCTGGCAAAGTTTTGAGAATAGGATTCTGAAAATTGCCATCCCTGCTGGAAAGGATTCATATGCGTTTTCATTTTCAACCTGAATGTTCAATACCGTTTGGTTTTGGTTTCACCAATTGATTAATGGAAACATTAAAATTTGTAGGAACTGTACCTGTGGTGGTTGGTGCTCCAAATATTGAAGATTTTGCTCCTTCTCCTGGTTCAGTTTTACATATTAAGGAATTGGACGATGTTCAGTCAGTTGCAAGAAGAATGAAGTACCTTTCAGAAAACCCTGATGCTTATAATCAATCATTAAGGTGAATATGCCAATTTACAAGAAACCTGTTTCTTTTTATGGAATAGTTACGGCCACCCATTTCTCCTTCTTACAAGGATTCTTTGATGGTTGGAGTTATATTTTGGTTTCATCATGAGTCCTGTTGACAATGAGATATCCATGCATTAGGTGGAAGTACGAAGGCCCATCTGATTCTTTCAAGGCCCTTGTGGATATGGCCACAGTTCATTCATCATGCCGTTTGTGCATTCACTTGGCCACCGTCATCCGGGAGAAAGAAGAAAAGAGCTCTGACTTCAAGAAACGCCCCTGCAAGTGTACCAGAGGATCAGAAACTGTGTATCATTTATATGTAAGAGAGCGAGGGAGGTTTGAGATGGATTCTATTTTCTTGAGGTAGCCCCTGTACTCTTTAGCTATTAGTTCATTGTTGCAAAACAATTTTATTGATCCTTTTTATCCAGACTCAATTAGACTTTCTTTGAACATAACAATCAATGGAAAAGTAGTTGAAATTATCTAGCGTTGTGTTGCATTCATTTCACCTAATTGATGATACATGGCTATTTTATCTTTGACTGCTTCTGCCTTGTCAAGAATCATGCATCTTAAGCTTTTCTTCAATTTTGAAACTAAAGGAATACTTATTTCTGACATTGATGAGCAGGTCTGGCAATATGACTCTAGAGGCCTTGGAGGCTGCAGTGCTTATGAAGTTTAAGTCTCTGAAACACGTGCCAGTTTGGAAGCTGGAAAGACCCAAAAGCATAAGAGGAGGGGATGAACTAAAAATATGCAGAATATATCCTGTTGGCTTGACACAGAGACAGGCTTTATTTACCTTCAAATTCAAAGGGGATGGCGATCTTAGGCTCTACATTGAAAACAACCCTTGTGCAAAGTTTGAAGTCATATTTGTCTAAATTGAAGGTTGCATTATCTCAACTTTGAGCATGGACGATGGATTCCCAATATCAGATCAGCACTATTTGCTGAAAATATTTCTTGAGAGATCAAGGTAACCTCATGCAGGTTACGACTTTCATCAAATGCTTCCTGTAAGAATTTCGTGAATTTTTTTACATTGATTAGCTGCTAGGTTACATGAATGAGCATGGTTAAAATATACGGTTGGCTCAATTAGTTTTAGATCATGCCACAATTCATCTGACTCTTTGAGTTTTACCTTCAGAATTCTTCCTAGCATGATAAATTATTGGATGAATTAGTTAGATATGTTAGAGTCACCTGTGTATAAGTTTACTTGTTCCTGGAGAATCTTCCTGAGTTCTAATAAAATTTTGTTAGGCCAGGTTGTCTCAGCAATGAGCTGGGGCTTAAGTCTGGAGTCCTACCTCTTTTTGTGTGGGGAATTCTGCCATGAATGAAAACCATCAGGATAAAACCTGTCAGTCCCCGGAAGATAAAGTATAACATGCAGTTTGTTCGGATGTGGACAACAAAATTTCTGGACCCTTGATCTCCATTGTTCCCTTATCTTCTTTTTCGTCCTCTTTTTTTATGAATCATTACTCATGCATTCAGTAAATATAGAATACTACATGATTTACTTAATAATGTAAAGAATTTCCATCCCATGATAAAAAAAAAATTTTTGTCTTGAAGTTGATTCTTACCAATAGGGACAACAAAATTGACTTTTTTTTGTCTCTGTTAGGGAAAAAAGAAAAGCCTTGAAATTTTTTGCCACCTTAATTACAAATTAACCAAGAGACCACTAGATCAGCATGCTGACAAGCAACAAGAAACATATAATCAGAGAAAGACAAATGTAAAATGTTGAATATGAGCAAAAGAAATAAATATGCACCAAAAAGCAGAAAAGCAACCAAAAAGTGAATAGTTGAAGAGCGAAACATTGCGGTCTGGCGTGGTTCAATTGGTTAAAGCAAGGGAAGAAGGATTAGTTGTCTGTAGGCCACATGTTTGTTTCTATATGTTAAAGTTGAAACCAAAACCGAAGATTGATCTATAACTTGTGGCGGCGAGTCAAGCTAGTGCCTCTTGGCTCATTTTAAAAGGTATTGTAATAAACCATATCTCGTGTGGTTCAGGTTTCTTCAACTCTGAAACGCTGTTCTCATTCTTTCCCTTTGCCTATTCCTGTTAGAGAAACAAAATGTGTTGGTCACCCCCTCGGTCACTTTGCCACTACATATGCAACTTTTTTCCAATTTTCTTTTCCCATTGTTTATTTTAATATATCTTTGGGTATGACAAAAAAATAAAGGGTTTGCTCTATTTGATGTGATGGAGAATAACATTTTGTGGAATGATAAGATCATTGTTACTTTTGCATTTATATAATATAAATAAATTAGGTATCGTAATTGTAATGATAATTAGTCTACACTCTACATCTTGTGAAGAGTGACATTTTTATTATAAGTTCAAAGGCTGATTAATTTAAGTGGAACAAGCAATCAAATTCTTGAAAACCAAAAAAAAAAAAAAAAAATGCTTTGGGTTCGGATGAATCCCGGTATATTACCCAAATGTGGAAACCAGAGGCCGAACCCATTGGCATTTGATAAGTGATTTCCACGGTTCAAAACGAAATTTATATGAAATTTTATAAGTAAAATTTATAAAATTTTTTTATTAAAAATAAGTAAATAAGATTTTTAATAAAAAATTAAAACTGATAAATTAATCAAATTTAATGTAAAAATTAATAATATGTAAAAAAAATTATTAAAAGTATTATTTATAATTTAAATTTAATTTATACTTATTTAATAGTAAATATTTTGTTAATATTTTTATTAAAAATATTTATTTAATAAATATATTAAAATTTGTTAAAACTTTTTAAAATTTTATACGATTGATATATGTGATGAAAATTTGAATTTATCAATTTGAATTTACTCATTTCTATTATGAAACTTAAAGAACCTAAAGTCTTCTTCCAATTCAATTAACAAGCAAAAAGCCAATAAAAACCTTGTTAAGGCTTTAAACTCTTTATTCCCAATGGCCAATAAATGCATGTACTACTACAAATAGTCATGTTTCTCATCTCCTTCCTCCAACGTCCTATTTAGGAACTGAACTGACCCGTAACACCATCCAAAAGTCCCGTGCCCTCTTCTCCTAAGGTCTCCTTCTTTCCATTACAACAATGTCCAAACTCTTTTCTTCCTTCGCTTCTCTTTCCACTACCAGAATTCTGGCTATTCCAAACTCTTTGTATGTCAGTCTGAACTTTTCAAACAACTATTCCACACGTCTTCCCTTCCAGTTCGTTTCCTTGCACCACAAGCATTGCCATCTACTTCCTCTTCCAGGCCTAAAACATGGGTTCTTGCCGCTCTGACGACAGCACCAGCATGAGTGGAGGTTGATGCTGGGAGGTTGGAGCCAAGAGTGGAAGAGAGAAATGGGTACTTTGTGTTGAAAGAGTAAGTCTAGAGAAGGTATCAACCCTCGAGAAAGTGAAGATTGAGAAAGACCCCATGAAGCTTTTCATGGAAGGAGGGATTCAAGAACTTGCTAAGACGTCAATGGAGGAGATTGATAAGGCTACAAAATTGAAGTATAATTTTGTTGTTGTTGTTGTAATTTTCTTCTATTATTGGCGGCAGATGGTAGATTTATGATGAGACCGAAGCTACCAAATGGGGTAACGACAAGTGCCCAAACAAGATATGTAGGCAAAACTGGGAAGGATGGGTGTGCTGACGTGACAACCAGGCAAAACTGGCAAATTCGGGGAGTGGTGCTGCCTGATGTGCAAGAAATACTCAAGGGTCTTGAAGAAGTAGGCTTAACAAGTCTGCAGAGTGGCATGGACAATGTGAGAAACCCTGTTGGCAATCCTCTGGCTGGCTTTGACCCAGAAGAGATTGTTGACACTCTTCCTTACACCAACTTGTTATCCCAATTCATTACTGCCAATTCTCGTGGCAACCCAACCATCTCTAAATTGTGTACGTTGTTTAGCACAGCCCCGATTCCAGGACACTATGTTTCTGTCAAGTATTAAGGAAAATAATTTGTCTGATTTTCTACATTAAGTTTCGTTTGAACAGACCAAGGAAGTGGAATGCTTTTGTGTTTTGGGTTCTCATGATCTTCATGAAAACCCCACATCAATGATCTTGCCTACATGCCTGCCATAAAAGATGGACGCTTTGGGTTCAATCTGCTAGTTGGTGGGTTTCTTTAGTGCCCAGCGATGTGAAGAGGCCATTCCTCTTGATGCTTGGGTCTCAGCGGATGATCTGATCCCAGTTTGCAATGCTGTGCTAGAAGCCTATAGGGATCTTCGCTTCAGGGGCAACAGACAGAAGACAGGAATTATGTGGCTGATTGATGAACAGGTGAGTAACACTTTTTCTCAATTATTATGTAGAAAATAAGGTTGCTTATAAGGGATCTTTGTTTTTGTATTGGATTGGTTCCTGAATTGCATGAGTATGTAAATGTAATACTCCGATCATTTAAAAATTTTGTTAAAATGCAGGGCATTGAAGAGAGATGGCCAAGAGATGGGAAGAAGTGAAAGGCTGGTTCAATCCAGTTCATTTATTGCTTTTAGATTTCTTTCTTTCTTTCCTTTTTTGTTTTTTTTTTCAAATTGGAGGATCTGAGTATTCAAACGACCCTTCGAGAAGAGAATTGATTTGGACAACTTTGATCAATGGGATGACAAAGTGAAAACATGTCCTTTTCTAACACGCTTGCTCGATGATGATGGGTTTTGTATGATCATATATGTAAAATTTTGACCACATGTATCGAAATAAAGTTAGTGGTAACATATTTTCAGTTGAATATTAGAGATGATAACCATTAAAATACTTGTTCTTTCATTGTTTAATCTCGATCACCCTGTTCTGGGAGCAGACCAAGTTCCTTTCTCGAGAAAGATATGCCTTCAACCCAAGTCCCCAACAATCTAAAGAAGCCATGGGACAACTATTTTCCCCTCGTTTTTAGCTCTAACCAAGGAAGACAGATCAGTCATTTACTGGCATGCCGCAACCGCATATTAATGGGCTGCATGGATCAGGGTTGGAAGAGTTCTTCTTGGTGAATGAACTTTCTGATTGGGCTAGGATGTAGTGAATTACCGTCAAGCAATACTTATGGCCTTACGGGCTCAAGCAAAGGAGTAAGGATTCCTATCAAATGGATAAAAGTTTAATGCCAATTGCTACATACAACCGTTCACATGTCCGGGGAAAAAATGAAGTTTGGCCAATTCTGGGTGGATATCACCATCATTCTGGTATCTTGAAGCACTCTCTCTTCTGTTTGTTTCCTTTGATAATTCCAGATTTGCTGTATTCTTATTCCCCCTAATTAGCCTTACCTTTTTATTCCAAAGTATGGAAAAAGTGATGGTGCAACTTTATAATTGAACTGAAACGATTATTTATTCTGATTTGTTTTGTACTTTTCTTTCATTCACCAAGTTACGTGGGACAAACACATTGGTAATACTAAAGTTGTGCCATACATTTATATGATAATTCGTATTTTTATATTATATAAAATATTGATAATTCATATATTTATATCATATTTTATACAAAAATTATGTGTTATAATTCATATTAACATAAAAATATAAATTTTTTTTTGTTTTATTAAATTTATTTATATATTTTTTAAAATTTTAAATTATATCATTTTTATTTTTTTTATTCATATCATGTAATTATATCATGTTTTAGATGGTCAAATTTAGCTTAATGTGAACATTGGCGTGAGGGCAAGCATGGAGAAAGAGAGAAGAATTTGAAGCACTCCCTTCCCCTAGATGATTTTTTTTGGCCCATTAGAATTTCAGAATATCTCATACAAAAAGGACACATAAGATGATGAATCTATTGAATTGCTTATGCCTATCCGCAAGCCGCAATGTTATTGGTTCTCAGTTGATAAAAAGCTTCAAGAATACGAACATGCAACTATCACCATCCACGTTATTATATCTTCTTTCCTTGTTTGGAACCTCAAAATTTTGTAACTATAAACAAAGTTACGTCATTGCTTTGCGTACTTTGGTTGGTAATATCAACAGCTAGAATATCTAGATTTTCAATTAACCTAACCAAATCAATTTGATTAATTTTTATATAGATTCATGCTTAATTTATGAGATATTATTTATTATAATTTGAACACGATTTTATCTAAAGTTGATAATTCAATTCGTACTTAACAAATTTTAATCCGACCTGATCCTATAAGATTATTTTTTTAATTTAAATTTTGAATCAAGTCAGATCAAATATTTTTTTTAAAAAAATTAAGGTCATGTTTTATGCAAACTTATCTCGACCTGACCCAATTATATATTATTTTTATTTATTTTATTTTATATTTATATTTTAAAAAATAATATTAAATAATATTTTGTATTAAAAATAATATAATATATTAACAATTAATATTTTATTAATTTATGATCAAATCAAGTTTAAATATATGCGGATAAAATTAAATTCAAGTATAAAAATAATATTTTTATATCTAATTGGGTTAAATTCGGATATTAAATTTATAGTCGGTCAGATTCAAGCATTAAGTTTATAAAGTTGAATTGGAATCAGAACGAGTAAAATCTACTTTGATCGGACCTATTGTCATTCATAATTTTATTTTACAAAAAATATATTATATATATAAATTTAAGTTTTTTTATATATATATTATAATAAATTCTTAAAATATCTCGATATAAAATAATTTGATCATACAAGCTTCAAATACGAGTGTTTAAAACTAGTATTATCCTATTTCTTTTCCAAATTGTTTGGACTTATAGTCGAAAGGCAGGTACATTGTCTAAGCTGTCCATTGATGAAAGCCAAGAAACATGGAGGCCATGGCAGAATTTAAAATGTGACATGCACCAAACAAAGCAATTATTTAAGTACCAGATACAATGAACCTAAGGAATAATTCAAATTTTCATGGCCGCATGATTGTTTACGTCAAAAAGGATATTGCGAGCATGTGTGTGATTAAAGTTAGAAAGAAGATTTTTCTTAAAAAAAAAAAAAAAAGGTTAGAAAATAAGATTGAATTATTTGTGTGATTAGCTAAGCAAATTAAGAATCAGAACATGTGAAGAATAGGATAATGATGAAAGATCAAATCTCTGATTCTATTGTCGTTTTCAGGAACAAGGTTGCTTTGCTTTTGTCCTAAACATCTTTTGTGATTGAAGTGCATGAATTGCTTCCACGTATATCATAACTGGAAATTCCAACTTCTTTGAATGGCTCATTGTTGAGTCATATGTCATACCCCACTTTTTTTCAGTTATTCGAATCCAAAATGAACTTACGACTTTTAGATGTGGGAATAAATAAATAAAAAAATCATAATTTGAAGGTTATAAAAAAATCAAGTTTCTTATTAGTTGTGTATTTACATTTTTGTTGTGTATGACTTATTAGTTGTTATGCATGCAAGACTTCATCTCATCGCAGTATATGTGACTTGACGTGGCATGGGCACAAACACAAAGCTGTTCTGGTGGGTTCAACGAGAAGATCATAACGGGCACGAACTTGTTAGCTGTGATGCACCTAGGGTCGGTAACCTAATTCCCGATGAGTTTTGATTTAATCTTATTTTATAAAATCAAAAAATTTTTAATTAGGTTTTAGGTTGGGTCGAATAAGATTAAAAAAATCAAAATTGAATTGGATTCAAGTTTTAAGTAAATTCGATATGATGTTATATAAAAATTATTTTTTAATTATTTATTTAATTTTTATTTATATATTTAAATATTTATATTTTAAAAAATATTTTTTTTAATTTTAAATCGGATTAAATTAGGTACGATTTATACAATATCGGATCGGATTGGATTCAAATATAAAAAAATTTTTAAAAAAATTCGAATCGAATCAGATTTAAATTTGATAAATATAAAGTCGAATCGAATTCGAAACAAACAAAAATCTGTCCTGACCTAACTGTTATCAACCTTAGATGCACTCGTATCAATTCGGATAATATTGAAGAAATTAAAAAAGATCTTAAAATTAGAATGTGAAACGTACAAATCAAAGTTCTATACGAATTTCCATGCAAATCGAGAATCATATGTGAACTTAATTTCATTAATTTCAAAAGCAAATTAAAGATAAAAATGATCTCTTTGCATAAAAAATAAATTAAAAAAAAAACAATACTTCCATGCTTTGACAAACTTTGGAAATAATTTTCAATGAAAGAGATATCATCGTTTACTTTTGCTATTGTGTTCTAATTTCTACAAACTTTCATTTTAAAAACATTTAAGCAATATCATTTGTCGAAAATGAATGGGAAGAGCAATGAAAAACAGCTAATAACTGCCACGTTTCATGTTCATTTTTATATGCAATTGCGTGTGTTCATGCACACACAGCTAAGCTAAATGAGATTTTTATACAATCAATGAATCAAAATATCGTACCAATTCATTCTTTTCGACCAAATTGATTTCCTTTTTTTTTTTTATAACTTGTAACCAACTTGATTTCCTTTTAAATTTTGGAATATTTTAATTATTTTATATAATTTAATTCAAAAAAATTATCAATAATGAAATTTTTTCTATCGTTTCATAGGCTAGAATTTATAACTTATGTCAGTGCCACCAAATTTTAACAGCAGAGAGGAAGTTTCAAAATTTTAATATGTTGGTTTAATTTGTTTATTTATTTTTGTTTTATTGATATATGTTAAAAATTATTTGATTACGATTATAACTTCTAATGAATAAAAATTTTAGAGAAAGGATAAAATTTACGTGAAATTTTTTAAGTGAAGTTTTTTTTAAAAAATGATTTAATAAAAACTTTAATAAAAAATAAAAAATTTATGAATTAATAGAGTTCAATATAAAAATCAATAATATATAAAAATTTATAAAAAATATAGTTTATAATGTAAATTTGATCGATATTTATTTAATGATAAAAATTTTATCAATATTTTTATTAAAAATATTTATCTAATAATATATATCAAAATTTATTAAATTTTTTAAAAAATTTTCACACTTAATTTATATAATGAAATTTTTTAATTTTTTAATTTAGCTTTTATTTAATCATCTCTGGTCACGAATTTTATTTAAAAAACTTCGTATAACTCTTTCCCTGAAAAAATTACTCTCTATTTCAAGAAATTAATAAAGAGATTTGCATAACCCTGGGTAATGCATTCAGCAAAACAATTTCATCCTGTCCATTTGCTGTCAAGGACCATGACTTTCTTCAATAACAAGTAATTCAAAAATGTTGGAATCGTCAATCCTCCCCCTGTTAACAACCCTGATTTGCAAACCAACCCCAACCACTACTTCAATCCTTCACGTGGTTTTTTTTTTTTTTTTCCTCAGCCAGCCGCTCAGTTCTTATTGGACTTCATTAGGGCATGAGTAATTTCCAGGAGCCACTCTTCTCAGCATTTATTTTCAACTCGAAAGCTGACGTGAAGCTATAAAACTACAAAATTAATTTTCCCTGACAACTTTTCTGCTACATTTCACTCTATATAAATCCCCAACCCACCTCACTCTTTCCCCCTGCTTGTATCATCTTCACAACAAATCAATATCCTTCACCATTTCCACAATCCTTTCGCCATAACACCAAAGTCTAATTGAGGGAGAGAGAGACTACGTTTTTCTATGGAGACTGTTTCTATTTTACTGTACGTAATTCTCTTTCTCTCCGTTCTTGTTTCATATCCATTCCTAAGGAAGCAAAAGAGAGGAGTTCCTGTAAAAAGATTTAAGCTTCCACCAGGTTCAATGGGTTGGCCATATATTGGAGAAACTCTCCAACTCTACTCTCAAGACCCAAATATCTTCTTTTTAACAAAACAAAAAAGGTTATTACCGTACTGCATGGATGTATTATTTCTTGCTCATTTTCCTTCTCTCTGTTTAAGCTCTCTGCTTTTTTGCATGTAGAATATTGAACTAGTCGGCGTGATGCCATTTTTTTTCCCATGTTTAGGTATGGAGAAATATTCAAAAGCCACATACTTGGTTGCCCTTGTGTCATGCTGGCTAGCCCTGAAGCGGTAAGGTTTGTGCTGGTTACTCATGCTGACTTGTTCAAGCCAACGTACCCCAAAAGCAAAGAGAAGATGATCGGCCCTTCCGCACTATTCTTTCACCAGGGTGAATACCACACTCGTCTGAGGAAGTTGGTTCAAAGCTCGCTAGCCCCTGATACCATCACGAAGCTAATTGCTGATATCGAAGACATAGCTGTTTCTGCCTTGGAGTCATGGGGTGGCTCTGGACAAGTTATAAACACTTTTTATGAGATGAAAAAGGTTTGTATAAAAGAAAAGATATAATAACTTTGATTAGAACATATTTCTAAACATGTTTCTAATGTAAACCTCATGTTGTCCTTTATAAATTTGTTTTCATTGATGGTAGCTCTCGACATGTTTCCAAGTTCCGGGACCTACACTTATTGGATCATGATTTTCTAACATTTGGGTTCCCTTCACTCTCAACAGTTCTCTTTTGACGTCGGCATTCTTTCCATTTTTGGTCACTTAGATAGAGGCTACAAAGAGAAGTTGGAGGAGAACTACCGAATAGTAGATCAAGGTTATAACTCTTTTCCTACAAACATTCCTGGGACTGCATATCAAAAAGCACTACTGGTAAGAACCATTTCCTCTGTCGTTTTCAGAGAAAATTATCTGATCACAAGGAGGCAATTCTGATGTATTCTTTCTTATTCAAAAGGCGAGTAAAAGGCTGAATCAGATTCTGGGTGAAATAATCTATGAGAGGAAGGAGAAAGGGCTGGTGGAGAAGGATCTGTTGGGCCATTTGTTGAACTTCAAGGATGAAAAGGGGCAAACTGTGACTGAAGATCAAATTGCTGATAACATCATTGGAGTACTTTTTGCTGCCCAGGACACTACGGCCAGTGTTATTACATGGATTCTCAAATTCCTCCATGATGACCAGAAACTTCTAGAAGCTGTGAAGGTAATCATAGAATTCCACTTAGACTTCTTAGAATTCTATCATCAGGGAATCGAATTGTCTCAAATTATGATTGCCAAAATCATACAGACAGAGCAAAAGGCAATATACGAGTCAAACAACGGAGGGAAGAGTCCCCTAACATGGGCACAGACAAGGAGCATGCCTCTTACATATAGGGTATGCACTGCTTAAAGTCTTGTAGCTTGTTTTACGAAAAAACCAACTTCAAGAAACTTCTTATCTTTTACTACTTTTCAGGTTTTACTTGAGAGCTTGAGGATGGCCAGCATCATATCTTTCACATTCAGGGAAGCAGTAGTTGATGTGGAATATAAGGGTAATTACAGGCTTGAATTTTCTTTATCTGTATTGGATTTAAGGGGCTTTCAATTTCATGAATTAGTATCATCACTCTGATGTTTCGCTTTTAAATGTACAGGATATCTAATACCCAAGGGCTGGAAAGTAATGCCATTGTTCAGGAATATTCATCACAATCCAGAATTCTTTTCTGATCCTCATAACTTTGATCCATCTAGATTTGAGGTACCTAATCTTGTAGACATGGGCACACACAAAGAATAGAAATACACAATACATAGACTGATACGAAAGCTTACAATTTTTTTTTCCTGGCTATGGCTTCAAGCAGATAGCTCCAAAACCCAATACTTTCATGCCATTTGGCAACGGCGTCCACGCTTGCCCCGGCAACAAGCTAGCCAAGCTGGAGACTCTCATTTTGATCCACCATCTAGTAACAAAATTTAGGTATAGTTACTCACATTTTAGTATTACAATACAGACTAATTTTGATAAGTCTCTTTCTGTTCGGGGTATGATGATCTTTTATTTGCAGGTGGGAGGTGGTGGGTTCTCAAAGTGGGATTCAATATGGCCCATTCCCAGTCCCTCAGCAAGGACTCCCAGCCAAATTTTGGAAAGAATCCAGCAGTCCTATTCAAGATGTGTGTCCTTAAGTTACAGATTTGGGAAAGAATCCATGCAGCAATGCCGCAGCCAAAACTTTTCTGCTCCCTACTATTCTTCGCCATGGGGTTTCTCAAATCATATTAGATTTCCCCTTGATTTCGTATAATTATTAACTTTCACGTTATTTTTGCAGCTAGTAATTGCAACTTTTCGTTAGAATATGTATATTATAAAGTGTAATAAAAGAAAGAATCATTTCCCCAACTTTCTTATCTCTACAGCTATAGCAAATAGCATAAGCACAAACTTCGTTCATGTCTGGCGATGAGGGCCCCTTATAGAACAAAGTACGTTACAACCAGCCTACCTCTATTTTTTGGGGTGCAGTAAACCCGGATATGCTTTTCAACTTTGAAGCCATGGTGCCTTTGCCGGTGGCCCCAATGCCTGATCTTTGTTGGGGTCCGAATCTGCTTCCGAATGAGGGCACTCTTGTTGGAATAATCTAAGAAACAAGGGCAATGTACTAATTAACCAGTAGCCCAAAGTTGTTAGTCCCCACGTTTTATTTGGATTTTTCCAACCATGTTTCCCTTCAAGCAATGGCAATTGCTTAAGAAAACAAGATTGAATGCGAAAAAATCAGATCAGTAACAGTATAATGATTACGGTATAGGAATGCGAATGTGATGGAGGAGGTGATAGAAGACAATTTGAAAACGGCCAGAGAAAGTGAGAAACCGAGGAAGAGATGTTTAACAAGAAAATAACTTCACAAAGGAAAGAAGTAGATCTGCCATCTTCACCCCTTAAGGGCTTAACTAGTCCTTGTCAAAAAGATGAGATGTGTCACAATCGTCGGCAGCCAGTCACTAGTACCATCGCTCATAGCAACACCATGCATGCTATGATCTTTTACACTGGATCCTATTATCACATCATTAGTGAATCATAGTGCCACAGCTGTACCTTACGTACATTTCAGATGGAATCATCAACTCCGCATACCATTAAAACATTCCCCTATCCTCATGACCATTCCCACACGGACGTCACCTGCTGCTCGCTCCGTCTCATCGCATACTGACAATAGGTTCAGCATCTTATCACTTTGAGTCCTGGGAAATATCTTCCTGCATATTACATCAGAAATTCACTGAAATGTTGTGTTCACTGGCCATAAAACAGCATTGTGAAAGTTACTAACTCCCGTTTAGAGCAGTCGCAGAAACACATGGTCAGGAAGACCATTATAAGAATGATACCTGACAGTTCGACAATTCTCCATCGATCATACTCCCACAGCCAGTAAAGTTCTATTAATTTAACAAGAAATCGCATCGTTAAGTTCTAATAATTTACTAAAGCCACATCTTTGAACCAACATCATCCCATCGTTGAGGGACAATCCCATAATTTAGGTTTGGTAGTTTAACTATATCACGTCATTGTTGAACAATTAGAATGAAAAAATGTCTTGCTCAAAAAAGAAAGTGACCTTTCAAACTTATCTGAATTAAGTTGCTAATCATAATTACTGTGAAGGATCATGGACCTTCCACCAGGCTTGTCCTTTACTCTCTACTTAAATCAAAATGCCCCAGGTGTTCTTGATGCCCCGTCCATTCCAGAACTATCAAGCTATCCTGGATATCTTTGACAGCATCTACAACTTTAGATGCTAACATTTATAAATGCCAAAAGCATATATCCTTGTGTCCATGCAAAGTGAAATTTTAGATCAGGGTCCTGATTATCTAAATAAAGTAGAAAAAAAAAGAATAATCAATATTGTGTGATGGAATTTTTATTTTCAGAGAACTACTACCAACGTCAAGATAAATCACCATAATTTATGATTTTTCACCCTGTTGTAACTTGTAGTCTTTCTGTAGTAATCTGGTGTTCCATAATTACAATGGCTTACGAAACAACTAGTTATGCTAGGTTACAAATTAATTATCACTAATAAATTTTAGTATTTTTTGAGAATTATCATTAAGAAATCCATTTGGAAACTTAAATTTTGGGGTGTAACATCTTTTCTCTTCTCAGATTATTCATAAAAAAAATGTCATTTGGCAATTATGTCCAAGATAATCCTAATAATCTTGTCATCTTTTGAATTACTGCAAGTTGATTTGTGTGATATATTTATAATTTTAATATTAATGGTCGAATTTAGATGATTTTATATTTCATTTGAAACGATAGATAAAAAAGTTTTAACCGTTTCATCGTATTGCTTTCAACTTATGTTTTTATGGATCATTTGAATGAAACATTGATAAAATTGATATTTAAAAAGATAAACATATAATAATACATACGTAGTATGCATAAAAATAGGAGTTGAATTTAATGTTAAAAACATTTTTATCGATTTATTTATTGAAAAATTATTAAATATACTAACAATAAAATTTTTTAATTTTTCAAATATAATTAAAAATTAAACATGTATTATCATTTAATTTCATTTATAAAATTAAAAAAATTTACAATTAATATATCAAATAATTTTTTTATTTATATACATAATTCAAATGACATATAATTGATATTTTGATTGTCGATTTAGTATATAAAGATATTAAATGTGCTCAAAATTGATTAAATATTGAAAAATCATTAGCTAATAATCATCAAATTTATCAATAAATTATTAATTTAATTGATTAATAATCATTTTTTTCAACGAAAAAATTTAAAATTTAAAATTTATTTATAATTATTTATTAAAATCATTTTAGATATATTTAAATTATTAAATTAAATATAATATATTTTATTTTAACTCGAAGAAGTAACTTTGTACCATCGAAATTTTTTCTTACAAAAAAAAAAAATCATCAAATCTAATTTGTAGCTTTCTCCCATTAAAAAGGGGAAAATGTCACGCCGTGGGAAAGGGAGGACCCGCATTACGGAAAATCTGGCTGAACCTCAAAGGCACCAAAAATTTAAAAATGGAAAATGAACAAAATTCCAGCAAAGCTAGCGCTCATAAATAAAGCGCGAGATCTTAACATCCACTTTCTAATTTTTTGTTTCCATTGTTCCGTTGCCAAAACCAGCTCAAATCTTCCCATTCTCTCTCTAACTTTTTTTTTCTTTACCGGCAAAAGAATTAGTGACAGAAATCCAGATCTCTGTCAATCTCTCCAACAGAAGCTCAATGCATTGGATTCTTGGACGAATTGTGGAGCCGTTTGATTGATGCTTTCTCTTTGAAATTGGTGTCCAATGGAGTCGTCTATTTGGAGCAGCAGTGCCAAGCCAGAAGCGTGGCATTTTCTCGTTGCGGTTTACTTCGCGCTCGGTTTCGTTGTCGCCAGGTTCTTCCTTGACAAATTCATTTTTCGCGTAAGATTTTATTTTTTTCTCTCTTTTGTTTTCTTTGCGTTGAATATTGATTCCTAAATTTGTTTATTGTTTTATTTTTTTTATCCTCAATTGCTTTTTTAGTTTTATAATATTTCATTTGGTACGTATAAGCTAAAAATAGAGGATAAGAAAATTTATAATTCGAATGAAATTCCTTGTATCCTAAAAACCCTTTTCAAATTTGGTTAATTAGAGAGAGATTAGTTCTTTAAATCTTGTTTCGGAAATAAAGTTAACGTCAGTGGTTGAGCTTAGGTATGCTAATGATGTCACAACTGAAAGAACAAGAGCAAAAAAACAATGAAAAAAGAAAGGATTGAAATAATAAAGAAGATAAGAGAGGAAAAAAAAAGAGGGTTTAATAGTATATGAGAATTTTCTTTAGTTTAATAGTATCTGAGAATTTTCTTTCTTACATTTTCCAGTAGGATGCCTTGGAACACATAGATCTAACATGAGGTTACAAAGTTCTAAACATTATTACCAGCCTCCTCAAAACAAAATGCAAAGATATCATGGAACTTATAGAGAAACTAAAAGAAGTGTGTGATAGGGAATCACCACAGTTATGATATCACTTGTTAGGCTAAAAGCCTCAATTTAATTCACATCATAATCAAATAATAAATCAAACACATAAAAGACAACAATTTAATGTAATTCAGTCCAACTGATTTACGTTTATGGATGAGAAAAAAGATTCACTAGTTGTAGAATCAATACCCATTGACCCTCTCAATCTCCTCTAGTCTTATGAAGTATTCTCGATCCAAACAAATACATACCCATGTGCACTCTTTCAACACAACCAAATACATATTCATATGCATCCATACATCATACTTATGTTGACTCTCTCAGTCTTTTCTAGTCCACTCACAAATAAACATACACACCTGTCAAACAAATACATACGCATGTGCACTCTTTCAACACAACCAAATACATATTCATATGCATCCATATATCATACTTATGTTGACTCTCTCAGTCTCTTCTAGTCCACTCACAAATAAACATACACACCTATCGTAAATCTTTAGTAGTCTTATGGGGTGTCTACCACCCTACAACTCTCTTATATCTTTTTCTTATACTTAATCCTATAGAGATTTCACCTATTTATAATCATACAAACTTGCCTATTAAGAATCTTTTTCCTTTTAGAATTCTTCTTTTGCAAGTCAAATTTGCCTATTAAGAATTCTTTTCTATTAGAATTCTTTTTCGAAAAATCTTCTTATCCATCAATCAATATTTGGCCAATCCCAAACAAATCTCTTATGAGATTTGAGTCATTATTCTCAACAATCTTCACTTTAACTCAAATGCCATCAAATCATTTGTCTTCATGCTTGGCTCCACCTGCAATGAAAGTCTCACAATAATCTTTTTTTGTATGTCTTCACGCTTCACGCTTCATGCAAACCAATCATCAATCCTCAAAACATGAACTCGAATTTTTCTCTTGAATTGAGCTTCTCTAAGCTTGTCTCTTCCCAATTGTTAGGGATCACCATAGCTCTGATACCACTTGTTGAAAAATCAACACGTACACGGAATACCCACACACAAAATAACAAGCTCAAATCAAGAATAAAAATACACAAATATATTTGTTTCGACCCAACTTAAAATGGCCTACTCCAAACCCAATCCACTAACAAATAAATATTTACAACTGTACAACTGTGAGACTTTTAGAAGGAGAAATCACCAAAATCTTCTTATTCAAAACTTAACCCAAAACCTAATTACATCCTTTTAATAGCCTACTAATAATATCTAACTATCTAAGACTACTAAACCAAAACCAAAATATCTTATTTATAAGGGTGAAACCCCTTATATTTTTACTAAACTCCCAATGTGGAATATAAGATAAACTCATAACTCTTATAACTTTCGATATAAAATTTTAATATTCAAGGCAAATCCCAACAGTGTGTCAGCCCACCATGATATTTGCTATTCAAGGATTTGGTGGCTGTTCAGAAAATCCTCTCTTGCGTGGCAACATTGTGTGAGGTGGAAGTTATGTTATTTGTATTTGTACCACATTGACTGAATCCTAGAAACATTTATGAGGTACATCAGCATTTGTGTTCAATAACTTTTGGAGGCAGTTTATTAATACAGAAAAATGCTCCTCCCTGACTTTTCTCATTGTTTTCATTGACTAAAACTTATCCAGCAATTGCATTCATGCTATACTTTTCTTTCTCTGCTCTTGGAAGCAAACATGCTAGTAATGCTATTGGCAAAGTAATTTTGGGAAAGAATTTTGAGGTGCGGGAGAGGGGAATAAATTTTTTATAAACTTCGCCTGTATACTGCTTCCTTTTTGAAGCAATGTCATTTTTTTTTTCATTATAAAATTATACAAATGTAACATAATAAGAGAAATGAATGCTAGTTAGAGCTTGGTCTTTTAATCTTGGACTGGTTTAGGTTTTAGATCTCTACCAAAGGATAGCGACATCAGAATTATGTTGAATTCTTCTTGCTTTTGCATAGCTTGTAAAAACTGAATTTTAGGTCATGGATGAGCATTAAGTTGCTTAAAGTTTTTTCTCGAAGAATAACTTCTTGAAGGTAATTTTGCTTTCCATGTGAAGAGGCAAATATATTGCAATTCAAAGTGGCAAGTGTAGGGGATGGAAGCCCGGGATTATTTTTTATTAGCTATTACCCAATAATCCATGCTTCAGTGTATAAGTTGGTTGTTCTCTAATCTTGATATTTGAAACTTCTACCTTCATTAGAAATGATGTGCATCTATTTGAAAGTCATGTTTCGAATGTAAAGCTTTGCTTATAATAATTTCATTTGTTAGTATATTGGTGATAACAAACAGTCGATTGAATTTCTCCTTTTAATAGTTTCATTTCAATTTATATTACATGTAAGTGCATGTGCTTATAAACGGGGCATATAAAACATTTGATCTTTCATTAATGCATTTTAGTTTTTCTTCATGTTCTTTTAGAGGTTGGCCATCTGGTTGTTGAGTAATGGATCTGCTCCTTTGAAGATGAATGAGGCTACACTAGCAAAATTTGTGAAATGCTCGGAATCAATGTGGAAGCTAGCATACTATGCTACTGTTGAAACATGTGTTCTCAAAATCACCTACTATGAGCCATGGTTCAGAGATACAAAAGGGTATTTCAGGGGCTGGCCAGATCAAGAGTTGAAGTGAGTAACCTATATTTCTGGACTTACGTCCAACTGTTATTTATCAATATCATATTTTGTGCTGGTATGCAGTCTTATTTACTTCTTTAGTAGGATATAATTGTCTTTGTCATTAATTGACCGAAAGTTACAATTCCTCTTGGATGTGAAGGCTCTACACTTCTGATCTAAATTTACATTGTATGAAAGGGCTCTTCTTTTGTTTGTAGCTATTCTTTAAAGACAGGATGGCCAAATCTATTATGGTTCATGTCCTTAGGGGTTGAAATGCTTTGAAAACTACTCTCCTATCTGTGGATGAAAAGTTACATCTTTACTCAAAATGAAAATTTTGTTTCCTGTCTTATTTTCCTTTTGTTTTAATTTAGATGAACGGTTTTTCTTTTGTATGTGAAATCTGCATTTTATTTCTCAAAATTTTTCCTTTTTTTTACTTCGTTTAAAATTAATTGCAGACAAGTTTGTATAAAAATGATAGTCATTCACATGCACGTTTTTGTAAAGCTATGGTGAATGCTTAATCAGTCTTTTGCATTCAATATCTGATTATTGTTGTTTTGTTTTCATCTCCACTTCCTTGTCCTCCTGTCTGATACTAATCTTAACCTTTTATCATTCACTATTACCAGAGAAGCCTGGGTTAAACTCGTACTTATCGCCTGTGAAAGAGTTTATTCACTTGTTTTATTGTGCTTTGATTTGATCTTTTAGTTTTCATCGGCGTTGGTTTAAATGTTCTCTTTCCCTCCTTAGAGTGAATGTATTAATCTTGACACTGGTGTGTCTTGCTAGTCAACATCTTGAGTGAAACAATTTCTCATGTGATATTATTCTACTTTGAAGCAATAAATCTGCTTTATCAGTATTTATTGAAATTTATCTGGCTTTCCCTTGATACATGCCCCAACATGTTTTGTTCTGTTCTCTTAAATCTCCTATTTCTTTAGTTGCTGGGCCCTGCATGGTGGGAGGATTAGGTTTTCTTATACCTGCTGACAACATATTTGAAAATTAACTTCTTCCATTTTTTTGGTTCAGGCTTCCCCTAAGCCTTTTCTACATGTGCCAATGTGGGTTCTACATCTATAGCATTGCTGCACTCCTTACTTGGGAGACTCGAAGGAAGGATTTTGCTGTGATGATGTCTCATCACGTAATTACCGTTATCCTGATTGGATACTCATACATTACAAGGTAACTAAACCATTTCTGTGGAAGTGCACCAAATTCCTAATCATTACTACATAGCAAACAGACAAATATCTTTTTTATAGTCATTGTTGCTTACCTCTTAGCATGTTCTGGAATCTCATCTTTGGCCCATTTTTCATTAGATTGCATGATTTTGATCTTAATATCTAACCTTTTGTTGTAAAGAGTTTTTAGTATTCCATGTTTGTTGCTTTTATTGTCATTTTAAAATAATGCATTTTGAAAATTTTAATATTATCTTTTAATCTATATATTTGTTCTAAAATTTGTTTGCTTTTTGTACGCATATATTCTGGAGTACAGTAGCTGACAAAGTGTATGTTATGGTCAAATTATTGTATCCCTAGTTCAACGTGCTATACAATTTGCTGTTCTTTGAGTTTACTTTCAGCAAGCCTTCATAAGCTGGCAGCTTGTTAATGTCACTGTTATACCTTTATGGTTTTGAATGTTGTGGTATATTGCCATCCTTTGAATCATTAGTAGTTTGTGAAAAAATGCAACCCGGCAGCTTTGCTATTTCATATTCTAAGAAGAAAGTTTGTGCCTTCATTTAAAATGTTCTGCGATATCTTAATTTTTTTCCATCAACACATGGTGAAAATGCAGACCTTGCTGTTATTATGTTATTCATTTGCTGTGTTCACATACATACCCTCCGCATTTTATGTTAATGTTGCAAGTGATGGACTTGTCATTATCTAATTGTTGACCGAAATCTATTGAAGCTATTGCTTGCAAGTTTTTTGGAATACATGTATACATCAGAATTGAGGAGTATTTAATAGAATTCTTGTGAGGGAAGAGCATAGCCCTTGAGAATTTTGAACTTTTCTTAATAAGAGCTGGTTTGATAAATTAAATTAACTTCTAGATATCCAAGTGGGTAGATGATTATAATTTGTTTGTTTACAGCTTTTTCCGCATTGGTTCAATCATACTTGCCCTACATGATGCAAGTGACGTGTTTTTGGAAGCGGCTAAAGTTTTTAAATATTCTGAGAGGGAGCTTGGTGCAAGTCTGTGCTTTGGATTATTTGCCATCTCTTGGCTTTTGCTACGTCTAATATTCTTTCCATTTTGGGTCATCAAAAGTTCAAGGTTTGCCCTTATGGTTAATAATTTGGTTTCACAACATTACATGCACACTGGCTGATCACTTATCTATTCCCGGGGTTGGCCTCTCACAGCTATCACATTCGGGAGTTCTTAAATCTTTCACAGTCATATCCCACATCCCTGTACTATGTTTTCAATACCATGTTGCTGATGCTACTTGTGTTCCATGTATACTGGTGGATTCTCATATGCTCAATGATCACGAGACAATTGAAAAATAGAGGAAAAGTTGGAGAAGACATTAGATCTGGTAAGCCTTTTTCAATTTTTCTTTTCTCAAAATAAAAGAATAAAAAATAATTTGCATCTTTTTTTTAATGAGACTTGGGAATTGGAGGACTGTCTTCACCTATACCTTTTTATTCCCTGGAAATTGTAAAAGCCTCTCTTTGTTGTCATTTATTATCGAAAATTGTTAAAATTTCTCTCCCCCAAACGTAAGTCATGGAAGGAATGAGAGCAGGGCAGAAGCATGAAAATATTGGAATTTGAAAAATTATCAATAGCAAGACAGGTTTTTTAGAGCACCTTAAAGAAAAGTAATTATTCGTTATAAAATAGAATAACATTAACAACATTCAAAAGTAAACCTACCATACTAAATGCATGTAGAGATGTCATTTAAGTTGCAATGTAAAAGAAAAGAAAAATAATAAAGCTACGAATTCTCATCTAATTTCGTGGTAGTGGCTACATGTGGCTTCTTGTCTCATTGTTTTGGGCTTTGTTTAGGGAACATGCCACTTGATTTTGCATCCTTTGTTGTCAGCTTGTCCATACTCCCAACTGTCTCCAGAAGATACAGAGCTGATATTATACTTATAAAACAAGGAAAACTTGTGATATTATCTAAAATGTTTCGTCTTGCAAAATAAGTAAATAACATTAAAACTCTTTGAATTATAAAATTAGAATTCTTGAATTCAATTTGTTAGTCTAATTTATATCTTCCTATGAGGTACCTGACCATTGTTGTTATTTTTTCTGAACTGTTGCTTCTCTTTGTTGAAATGCAGATTCTGAAGATGATGATTAGACAAAAGATTTCATAAATTTTTTTGTTCTTACTACGATGTTAGGCCCTGAGGAAATCACTTGTTGTAGGTTTATCTCTGCACTCGATTTGTCATTAATTTGGGTAAAAATTGTCTATTTGTTTTAGGTTTTTAATCATTCTTCTGGGGGTACAGATGAGGAAGTGGGATAATCAAGCATGTCTTGATCCCTTTTTGCTGTATAAATGCTAGGCAAATTACTGAATATTGTTTTCTCCAGATGAACTCATGTTTTGGGATTAGTCAACACTAGGGAAATGAATACAAGGGATGAAGGGAAGTCATGTTTTCCTCTGTTAGGCGGCTCGGTTGGGGCTGAAGCTAACCAGTCTAATCAATCACAAAAATTTCCTGTCTTGGCAACTGCCCTTATTGCTTCGATGAAATTTCTCCAACAATGTGACATCATTCCAAGGAAGCATTGCCCGTGTTTGATGCTAGGTTGGATCCAACCTTTCCTTTTTTGTGGATACCTTCTCCACATGAAAGGGCATTCTTTTTAATTTTTGGTTCAAATTTGTTCTTTTGTTTTTTGGATAAGGACATGGAATGTCACTAAAAATTAAATGCGTAACATGGGTGTGGTGGTGGTGGAGGTGGAGGGAACAACTATAAATGGCCATAGCTTTGAATCAACCTTGTGGGAAGTGGGATCTGGGCAGGCCGATTATCTCTTGTAAAGAGATTTTTTTTTTTTTTGATTTTTGGCTTTTGTTCTTTCTTTTTATACGAGGCTATTGACATTTGAATTTTCAAATCATTAAAATTAAAAATTCAACATTGTGTCAATGGATACCTCTTCACATGGGAATTAAGACTTTTGATTCCATTCACGTTACCTTCTTTTCAACAGATCCTACAAATGACTTCTTTTCTCTTTAACAAGAATTGAAGAAGTTGCAAACAGCCCTTTAACTCAATTAGTTAAATTCAACGAAATCATATTTTTTGGGTTCAAAATATATTTATTTTATTATCTCACTTAATTCTTTTTATATTTTCTTGATTTCATGTAAAAACAAAATCAAGTTGACATATAACTAGTTCAAAGATTGTGCTTAATCGTTCAAATTTGAAGGTCTGTTTAAGTTTTTAAAAAGTTTTGATAAAAAAATTAAAATTTATTAAATAAATTTAGATACAATTTTTAGGTTTCTTTAAATTTAAAGATGAGTCTTAGATAAAATATTTAAAGTTTGAACTTGATTCAGTCGATTCGATTCAAATTTACATATATATATATATTATTTATTTATATATATGTGAATTATATATAACTTAATTCATATATATATATATATTAAAAATAAAAATTATATATTTTATTAAACTTAATTTTAATTTTTATATTTTTAATTTTTAATTTATATATATATATGTGAATTGAATATAATCTCATTAAATTTAATTTAATCATATTTTTAATTTTTTATTATATAAATTAAATTTAATTGATGGACTTGGATTTTTTTTTTAATTTAAACTGAATTTGAAAAAATTTTAAGATTCAAAATTTCAAACCGAATCAAACCTAAACAAACATGTAAACTATTAATAACAAATATGAGCCCAACTCAATTCTCATCTGGTCATAAATATTTTTACTTACACAGATCTTTTATATATATATATATATATATATATACATGTTTTAAAAGTAGCTTTTCACATTATTTTGCGTAAATTCATTTAAGTGAATTGAAAATAATCGTGGAATTGAAATTAATTATTACAATATTAAAATTAAAATCAATGATGAAATATATATTTATATATAAAAGTAACAATAGCGTTGAGGTGAATTATAATAATAAAAAAAAACTAACGATATTAGAATAAAATTTGTATATTATACAAAATTTAAATTATTTATCATTTATAAAATTTATTTATTATATAAAATTGAAATTTTTGTCAAATTTATTACTGCACTAGATTAAGATTTTCATATATACCACCTTACTTTTTTTTTTTGCAATTTTACCACTATACTTTTTTTTTATGCAATTTTAGTTATTTGTGGATAGAATTAGAATATTCCATCCAAAATTCATTTTTTGTTTGTTTGTTATGAAGAATATTTATATCTATATTTATATTTTAGAAAATTTCATATACCATAATACAAATCCAGAAAATTTAGACAAAGAAGTTTAAACTTATATTTTTAAAATTAAAATATGATATAATTTTAAAATTAAATTTTATTTTATGATTCCAAGATATTTAATTTGCTGTATTTTTTTGTCCAACACTCATTTCTTGACTAATGCAGACTTATTCAATCAAATGTTTATAAAAATATAAATATAAATTTAAACTTGTTTGTCCAATAATTTTAATTTGACAGACCAAACTTTGGTTTTCTAAATAATTTTAAACATTTTCAAAATTTTGTACTAAAAACCAAATTGTCATATTTAATTTTTCTGGATTTATACTGTGGTATGTTAAATTTTTTAAAAATAAAAATATAAATATTTTTCATTACAACCAAACATAACAGAACGAAAAATAATTTTGGATGGAATATTCTATTTCCATTCCAAAGTTACTAAAATTGTATAAAAAAAATGTTGTACAGTAATAAAATTGCACAAAAAAAAAGTCAAGTGATAAATTTGATATTTTTCCTTATAAATCAAATTATTTATTAATGTATTAAATAATAAAATTTATTTATTATATTAAATTAACAAATTTATTTTATAATTTTAAATAAAAATAAAAAAAATGTAAAAAAAATTTTCAACATAATAGTAAAATTTAAAATATAAAAATGAAAAAAAAATTAAAAACCTGCCAATCACCAACTGACCAAAAAATACTGGTTAATAACTGGTCAATCATCAGTCGTACCATTAACTCATTTGGATGAAAAAATCACAGTTGACTCACCTTTTGATTACAAAAACATCATCACTGAGGTACGGTATAATCCAACGGAAGCCTTAGTAGCATAAAGATTCACCGTCCATGGCCTGGAAATAAATTTGAAGCATTGCTTTTCGCTGACCAGGCAACCTGTTGCCAGTTTCCAGCAGTCATTGTTTTATTCCTTGGGACCTTTTGATTAGAGATGAAGGCTTTTGTACTGATGCCGCTTGGGTTGGGACCGGAAGGGTGAGAGTGTGAAGGAAAGTAAGGGACCTGAGGTCTGTCAGCAGAGAAAGAAAATTAAGTTGAATTACCATGCCCTCTCTATTTTTGACTTTCTATCTGGTCCCTTTGGGGGTTTGGGGTTTGACATTTGGCTTGGATGTTGGTCCCTCTTATCCTCATAGCTGCCAGCTATGTACCCCAACAGCTGGACACCTGGACGGCAGCCACCATTAAAATAAATTGTACCTGTCAACAGCTGACAATAACGCTAAACTGTCAACAATTGTAACAGTTTGACCGAGTCTTTCCCATTTTCTTTGTCATTCTGTAATTTCATAAGACAAGACAAAGATGTATATCAATTATTAGATAAATGTTCATATATAATTATTATTTTAAAATTTGATATAAACCTTTTAAGAAGGGAGCAAATGATGGGATTTGAAAATTTAATAATTAATTAATTAATTTTTATTTAATAAATAATTAAATTAATCATAAATTTTTAAATAATTAATAATAATTAAATCAATTAAAATTTATTTGATTCGATTAATTTAATTAAATAATCAATTTTTTATTATAAATAATTATTTAGTTATAAATTTAATTTAATAAAATTTAAATTCAAGTATTATTCAAATTAAATTATTAAAAAAATTATAATTTCAATAAAATTTATACAAAAATATAAATAAAAATATTTATTTTAATTTATTTTAATTTTACTTATTAAAAATTGATTAATTCGATTATTTTTTATTAATTAAATTAACTTATCTAAAAAAACCACTATAATCAAAATAAAAAAACTAAACTGAATTAACTATTTTTCATTAATTTTGATTAATTAAATCGATTTAAATTAATTTCTACTCATCTTTAAAAACTTTCACTACTTAAAGAAAATAAAAGATTTGTCAACATTTTCAGAATATCTAAGACATGATATATTCTAGAAAATTTTAATTAGAAGTCAGTATCTAAAAAATAAATATAAAATTTGGAACATAAAACTTCTGATTATGGTTAAATATTTTAGCTGGTCAAACAATTACATGAAAATTGAAAAGGAAACTATGATGAAAGAAGCAAATGGACAGTCCCTGTCCGTCTGTCATTTTGCTTCGGTCCAGCCAGAAAGTTCTTAATGCTCTGCTATCAGTGCTCTCAGCTCCCTCTCTCTCTCTCTTCCCCTTTAAAAAAAAATAAAATATTATATGACACGACACACACACACTCTCTCTCTCTCTCTCTCTCTCGCTCTCCACTTTCGTTTCATTTTATCAGTCCAAAATCCCGCGTGTATTTCAGTGTAACAGCCATTAGGCTGTCACGTCACATCATGGACCACTTTTATTTTATTCGTTTTGTGTCATGTCATATTAACAAATACCACGTGCCGTACAAATTCTTCTAAGCCGTGTGCGAACTGTGTTCCCAGATGGCATGCCACGTTGGCAGCGTAACCTGTCTCGGTATAAAAGGCTTCTTATTCTTGTCCCAAAAGAACCCAAATCTGGAAACTCAGGGAATAAGCGAAGCAAAAGTGAGAAACTCGAAATTTTCGGACAAAAACAAAAATAATTCTCAAATTTCACTCGAAGTCGTTACCAGTCTTATGCAGAGGCACCTGGAAACGCAGAGACTTAACCCATCTTCGCTATCCATGCCGCCGCCGCCGCTAACACAGCTTAATCGTCTTTCTCCTGAACAAGAAAGCTCCGTCATGGTCTCCGCCCTCAGAAACGTCATAACCGGTTCCACCCCTTCCTCTTCCATCGACCCTGCCGTTGATTTTCCTTTCGATTTTGATGTATTCAGGCCCTCTATTTCTACTGTTACTTCTGGGTTCAACGCTGGTGGTGCGAACGTGGTATTTCAAGTGAGTGAACTGGTGGATAAGTGCCACGTATGCAAATATGACGGGTGTCTCGGGTGCAATCTTTTCCTGCCAAGTCAGAAAGAAGGAAAAAAGCGCGCAACTAGTAGTAAAACTAAACGAGCAAAGAAAAACTACAGAGGAGTTAGGCAAAGGCCGTGGGGAAAATGGGCTGCGGAGATTCGAGATCCAAAACGCGCCGCACGGGTCTGGCTTGGAACCTTCAACACGGCGGAGGAAGCAGCTCGGGCTTACGATAAAGCAGCTATCGATTTCCGTGGACCAAGAGCCAAACTTAACTTCCCATTTCCCGATAGCAACAACTATGACAATGTAACAACACCACCAACAACAGTATCAATAGGAACAGCAGCAACAACAACAACAACAATTGCTGTGGTGTCTGATCAAGAAAATGGTAGCTCGTTAAATGTGCAATCACAAGACAGTGAGAGGAATGTGAGCATGCAAAGGGACACGGAAATGGGATTCGGGACAGAGTTTTGGAATGGAGTAGGCGAAGATGAGATTGAACAATGGATGATGATGATGACAGATTTTGATGGGGACAATATTTCGTCAGATTCTGCTACGACTACTGGGTATGCTAATAGTTCATGGTCAGTTTGATCAGGCAACAGTTATGAATCTGCTGTAAGCCTGCAACTTCTTTTTTTTTTTTTCTATTTTTCCTCATTAATTCCAGTAAAGAACTGGAAACTAAATCTGCTGTTGGGCAGAGGAGGTCAATTAAAATTACTGCAATAGGCTCTTTCTTATTTTATTAGTTTCAAGAAAGAGTTCAAAGAATTTGGATGATAATTAATTGACTGTACAATTGTAACTTCTTGTTGAATACTACTTCTTCTTTAGATTAAATTCAATTTTCCAGATTTGGGTCTTTGTTCTTCTCCCCTTTTTTTTTTTTTGTTCTAAATTGTACAGGTTTTCGCTTTTTGACATTCGTTGCATCGTTTTGGTTGGTTGGAAAAATACAGTACTTTCAAATACGACTACTGGGAGCCAGAATCCCTGAATGAGATTGGAACAATTGGATAGGAAAGTTTAGTTCCATTTCACCTGATGAAAGCACCAAAAGGGTGTTTCGGTTGTCCAAGGTTGGGAGTGGGTGGGACCATCTAAAGGACAAGATTCAAGACTCCCATAGTGACGTGTACAGAGGAATGTTGGTCAAGTGGGACCCTTTAAATAAACATGTGCAAAATGCAACTTTTGGTCAAACTCCGATATGGATATAATAAGATTTTGATCACATTTAGCAGGTGCCCAATTCAACACGTGCTCATATAAAATTAGTAAAAAAATAAAGGGGACTTGGTCACCATTAGAGAACCCCAATTACCTTTTGGCCAAGCGCGTCTGGGAGTATTTATTTGGTCAAGGTATCATGACCAGGGGATTGGCTAAGCCAAACAAGTTGGCGGCTTGGAGCTGAATTGCCTCAGCATTGTCCCCTCTTGAAGACACAAATGTTTCTTAATGTGGCAGAAACACGGCTGCAATCTGGAGCCAGTCCGAGGAATTGCTTTATTCCTTATGGAATTTTCCACGTGATCAACATGGAGACAAGAAAATTGAAATGAAGACAGAGACGCAATCTCAAACAACTTAGCATTGGGAATTTGGGATTTGATTTGCTTAATGATTCAGGCTTTATCCGAGCTTATCAAAATCTGTGCAAGAACAGACAGCAATTTCTTGACGTACTAACTCAACCCATTGTCATAACGTCTAAATTCGGGGATCTATCGTTAGACATTAATTTTTAGGAAATTGTCACTAATCTTTTTTATTTAGGTGCGATTGATCACCTAAAGAATCTTTTCTTTCAGGGAACACCTAAGCTTAAGGGTCCCTAAAAGAATAGGTTCAGGTTTGCTAATCAGAACAGTGTTCGAGAGTTCGGTTACGTGTGAGGAAGATTATAGCACCCTCACAACGCCCATCAAAAGATGGTACCAGCTTAAATTTGTATTATCCAATAAGCCTTAAAATTTTACTAAATAATTAATTATTGAAAATTATTCTCAATTGACTCTAATACTTTTAGCAAAAAATTGAGAAAGTTCCCTCACCTCGAGAGTATGCAAGAAAAACTATTGTTTCACTCACAGAGGCTCCGTCGTCAGATTATTTAAAGAAAAATCAAAATAAAAATCAAAATAGAAAAGAAGGAAATGATGATTGTTCTTGTGTAGGAAAAATTGATACTTTCAACTTTTCCCTAAAAATATTTTTTGAAAATTTATTTTTAAGAAAAATTAATACTTTCAACTTTTCCTCAAAAAATTTTTTTATGAAATTTTGATTTCCAAGGAAAATTGATACTTTCAACTTTTCCTTAAAAATCCCTTTTTGAAAATTTATTTCTAAGGAAAATTGATACTTTCAACTTTTCCTTAAAAATGTTTTTCAAAAATTTTGATTTTCAAGGAAAATTCATACTTTCAACTTTTCCTCAAAAACCTTTTTTTTGAAAATTTATTTTTAAGGAAAATTGATACTTTCAACTTTTTCCCAAAGATATTTTTTGGAAATTTATTTTTAAGGAAAATTGATACTTTCAACTTTTCCCTAAAAATATTTTTTTTGGAAATTTTGATTTTTATTTAAAGAAAATAGAATAATAAAAAAATAAAAAATAAAGAAAAGTAAAAAAAAAATAAAAAAAAAATAAAGATAAAAAGAATATTAAATAAACCTAATCTAATAAATAAAAAAATAAAAAAAAAACAAATAAACAAAGAAATGAAAAAAAATTCAAAAAATTTTTTTTTTAAAAAAAACCTGGAGCGGCTCGGATCGCCGCTCGGCTCAAGAAAGAAAAAATGGCTCGGAGAAGCGGCTTTGGAGCTCGGCTCGGCTCGGCTCGACTTGGAGGGGGGCAACACGCACGGGTCAGGAAGCGGGTCGACGCTTGGGTCGGGTCGGATCTCGACAAAACGCGCCGATCCTCTGAGTTACTTAAGGCCAAAACAACGTCGTTTTGAAAGGGTATAAAAGGCACTTCTCTCTATTTTTCGGCAGAACGCTCCTCCCCTCTCTCTCTCTTCTTTTTTTTTCCTCTCCCTTCCCTTTAAAAGGCCAAAAAACTCTGATTAAAGATTCATCAGATTCTGGGTTTTGTCACCGGAATCTGGGTTTTTTCATTGAAAGTTCACCGAAAGTTAGTCGGAAGGTCACCGATTTTTGGAAATCTTCATCGGAAACTTCAAGGTTGGCCGAAATTTTAGCCAAAAAATTCAAATTTCGCTGGAAAATTCACCGAAATCTGGAATTTTTCAAAAATTTTCAGAAAAAAAATCGCCAAAAGAACTTTAAAAAATTTTTGCTATCTACCGGAACACTCCTAAACCTTTTCTTAGCTCTCTATACGTCCCTATTCCCTCAATCAGTAGCTTTTACTTACTGTTTTCTGTGTGTTCAGCAATCTGTTCCAGGAGGTCCCTTTTATAGGGATTGATCAGGAGTTCCTGATCAATCCCAATTCCTCCTTGGACGGGGATTCAATCTTTGAATCCAATTTGGACTCTCTTGATTGAATTCCCCTTCATAGTGAGATTTTTCAACTTTCAATCCCAGCCCTCCAAAATCAAATAAAAATAATAATAATAGATAATTAGAAAAGATAGGATAAATAAAAAAAAATAATATCAGATATACAAAAAATCAGATAAACGGAAGAAAAGAGAAAAAAAATTATTAACAGATAATACAATAAGATAAATAAAAAAAATATTACAAGAAAAAAAAATAAATAATAAATAAATTATAATATATAATAAATATAGAACTATATAAATAAAATACATATAAATATTAACAAAATAAATAAATAAATAAGTAAAAATATACATATAATAATAATAAATAATAAAATACATAAAATACAAAAAAAAAAAAAGAAAAGAGAAGAAAAAAAAATAATAATAATACAAAGTAAAAATTGCATTGGGCTTACCCATTTGGGTCAGGCCCAATTGATCTGGGCAAGGACCCAATTGAGTGTCTACAGCTGTCCCTCTTTGCACATTTTCTGTGAAACAAAAATTGCGCAAAGACGTAGACACTCAATCAAGACTCAACTCAACATTGTCATTTTTTATTTTTATTTTTGTTTTTTTGTGTTTTTTCTTGTTTTTTTGTTTTTTTTATATTTTTTTTTACCAAAGCTCCTCTAAACAGAGGCTCAACGACTTTGAGAAACATAAATTGCTCCTTTAAACAGACGCACCACGACTTTTGAAAATAAATTGCTCCTCTAAACAGAGGCATTACGACTTTGAAAAATAAATTGCTCCTCTAAACAGAGGCACCACGACTTTTAAAAGTAAATTGCTCCTCTAAACAGAGGCACCATGACTTTGAAAAATAAATTGCTCCTCTAAACAGAGGCAATGGAACTTTGAAAAGTAAACTGCTCCTCTAAACAGAGGCAACGAAACTTTGGAAAGTAAATTGCTCCTCTAAACAGAGGCACCACGACTTTGAAAAATAAATTGCTCCTCTAAACAGAGGCACCACGACTTTGAAAAATAAATTACTTCTCTAAATAGAGGCACCACGACTTTGAAAAAGTAAATTGCTCCTCTAATCAGAGGCACCACGACTTTGAAAAATAAATTGCTCCTTGACAATCATGTCCAAAGGAGTTGAAAGTTGTGTTTGAAGGAATTTTAAGAGATTATGCCCGAAGGTCTTATAAATCAACCCTGATACCAAAAGACATCCTATTTCAAGGATTAAGAACTTACCTGACAAGCTTTTTCTTTTTCAATTTTGTAAAATATCTTCATATCTGTCTTCTCTATGTGGGATGTTGGAACACCCCTGCTTTCTGAATTTATACACTATACTTTCTTGAGAGTAGTGTATGCTATACAAATGCATATGAATTTCAATGCATGCTATGCAAATGTTGGCCAATTAATTCCTGTTCAATGTATGGTACTCAAATTTCTCAAGCTCTTTTCTTAGGCATCAAGCCCTTTGATTCTTCAGAGATCCAATTACACTGCTCTTCTAAGATCGAACCAGTGTAGCTCTCAATTGTCTTTTTCACTCACATTCTTCCTTGTTCAGTTTCAATACTTTGGAATAAGCTTCATCAATCGATCATCACTTGACCATCATTCAATGAATTTTTCAGCACTTTCAAAATAAGTTTCATCCACCATCACTGGGTCTGGCGTTCACGGTGTCTCAGCATTAACCATTCCAAAACAAACTTTGTCCACTGATTGTTCAATCATAACTTGCAAGTCATATCGATCAATTCATCTTTGTACTCATCACTTTTCAAGATTTGCCCCATTATATTCTTCATTTGATCACATCATATATCTTTTCAAATCATCTCTTTTAGGTTTCTACCATTTCTTCATTTTGTTACCACCATCATCTTAGATTTCTTTTCAAATGAATACAAGACTCTTTTAAGCACACATTCATTCATTCATTATCATTTCAAATCTTAACAAATACAATGCAATTAAGCATCTTCTCAATTCATTCTAAGGGTGTAACAATAAGAGAACAAAAGGTGAATTATCAATGAAGATCTATTTTGGTATAAAACAAATGGGAAAGGAAATAAATTAGATGTCATTGAGATGGATGGTATGTCCAAATGATGAATATTCAGACAATTCTCAACATTAATCTAGGATTCTTTTTCAAAAACTAATTCTTTTTACTGTTGAAGTCATCTTGAGCTTGGTAAATTTTACCCCAGTCTTTGAGGGATCTTCAGATGTCTTTGATCTTTTATTCATGTGAGCCATTTGACCTGGATATTTTTCTATCAAAATCAACTTTTTAGGTTTTCAATTTGAATCTCCTTTTTTCATTTTCTCATTTCTTTCTTCTTTCTTTTTTTTCCT